CGACTAGATTTACTAATTAGTATAAAAATCTATAATATATTTTATATCTTACTACTATATCTAGTAGCTTAAGACCCCTTACTAGAATAATATTAGCTACCGCCTCTACCGATTATAGTCTATCGAGAAGGTAAGGCTAAACTAAAGAAATACTTTAAAGTCGAGAATATTCTAAACGTAAGAATCTTCGATAAGAATAGAGACCTTTAATATAAAATTAAGTAGAAAGAAGAAGATACTAACTAGCGATATTAGGAAATAGTATTACTAGGTTACGAAGAACTAATTTAAGTATTCTACGGACGTTATTCTAGAAAACCTAGCCTATCTATTAGGTACGACTTCGATAAGAAGAAACGAAAGAGAGTTCGTAGTACTAAAGAGGAACCTATTCTATATAATATTCTACGTAATAACCCGAGACCCTTACGAAACCGTAAATCGATAAGGAAAAAGATAGAAGAAGATAAACTATAATAACTACGAATTTAGAATATTACTAAAATTGGCCTAAACGGAATATAGAGAGATATCCTAAGATACTAATAGGTATAAAGTATCGTTCTAACTCGCTCTACTAAGTAGATATAAGCTTATTAAGGCTATCGAATAATACTCTCGACGATTAGTATTAATCGAGATATATAAAAGTTATCCTACGTTAACGAGATTATTATATTAGACCGAGATATTAAAGCTAAAAACTCTTTATCGATACGAAGCGATACTATATATCTCTTACGCCTCTTATACTATTAATTTAATAACGAAATAAGTGTTCTACTATTTAGGAATAATACGAGATAGCTTAGAGGATCTCGTACGGATTTGGAGGGGGGTGATGTCACGGTTGATGCTAACTAGTGGTTACATAACTAGTATATAACTAATAACACGTAATATGAATACTAAGCCCTATTACTATATAGGCTTAGCACGTACGCGTCTCCCTCGGTACTTCTACCGACCGAGCGCTCGTACCCTTCTTGATAGTCCTTCGTACTTCAATTTCATCTATTTCACGCATATTGCTCTTAAGCACCGTGCGGCCGTGATATCCAGCAAGAGCATTTTTGAGATGACGATTATAAGTTGAATTCGTAGATATTGTTGATATGTCTGTCGTTCTTGTTGCGGCGGTGATGATGGCCTTGGAGTCTAGAACCAATTTGGACAGTTTGGCCAATCCAATGACACGCAGTGTCTTCTCGCCCAGGGCCGAAGTGCATGCGAGGGTGGCGGAGCATCGATCCGAGACGGCGCGGAGGATTAAACGGGTGGCTTCTTTGTTTGGGGGTTGTCGCTGTTGCTGTTGTTTTGCCTCGTGTTGGTGTGGGTACTGGTATTGACGACCGCCGCCGCCGCCGCCTCCTCCGTCGGCCATGCTCACCCTCCCATACAACCGTTCAATGGCTCGCCAATGGCCCGTTATTGCCACATTTGCCGTCTGGCACTGGTCGGCCATGGCGGTCCGACCAGCAAACATAGTCATGTCGTCGAGTGAATCCGATGATACATCATCATCTGCTGCCGAGCATGTGTATGGTTCCTCCTTGTCGCCAATGTCAGTCATTGTCATCGACACCATGTTGAGCTCATCGGCCATGGCGGCCGATGTCGATGTCGATGGCGAATGTAGCGTTTCGACCTTGGTTAGTCTCACTAGCAGCTGATCGGCGCGTTTCTCGACCGAGTTGCTGGGCAGGTTTTTCTCAAGTAGGGCAAAGCTTGATTTGATCGAAGACTGGCGACGGCAGTGCAGAAAGTTGTTGCTGCCGCCGCATAGAGGACGAGCCGACGCTTGCGTGTTGGCTATCACGAGATCGACTCGGGCAAGACGTCGCAGGAGACGGGAATTTGACTCCTCTTCGATGACCCGCGACACCATGGCGTGCAGATCGCACGTTTCCCCGAGATATAGCATTGCCCTATTGTTTCGGGACGTCATGCCATAGGCATGGAATAGGATCAGCGATACGACCACCGTATCCAAGGTTGCTGTCTCGGCAAAGTCGTAGGTGGACCGGATGTTCTCCACGGACTGAATCTGGCAGCACACCGCTGTGTAGACTTCTGGACTCGGCTCAATCAGGAGATCGGCGGTAAGACAAAGCAAGCGAAGGGCGGCAAGTAGGGCCTGAAAGTCGCTGTCATGTTCGACGCCCGGGGAGGCTAGTCGGTCGTAGAACTCTTGTTTGTCGAGTACGGGAAACACCATGTACATGAGTTCAAAGTATCGGTCAATGTCTTTGCGGTATGTGTCGTGCAGAGCGGCTGTCGTTGTCATGGGCATTGCTTCGGAGTCTTCATCGGGCGAGGAGCTTCCTATAATTGTGGATTCGCTCTCTAATGCAGAATATGGTACTGGAAAGGAGTCATGGTCCGCTGGGAATGTATTTGAATATTGTAGTGTGGAATGATAATTGGATGAGTTGATGGGTGTCGTCGCTTCGGCTTGTGAGAACGAGTTCAAGTTCCAGGAAAAGTCGTCGAGAATAACGTCTTGATATTGCGGCCAAGTGTTGTCCCCCACGCTGGGGAACGCAGCAAGCGCATTGTCAGGGAAAGCTGGGCTCGTGTTGTTGTCCATCGAGAGATTGCTGGGTGCTGTTACGCTGTGGTCTGTTCCTGCAAATGGTTCCAGGGCAGCAGAGGACCTATGTGTGCCAGCACTGTGCACTTTCCCATGGTCGCCGGACCCATCGCTACGAGTCAGTTAGACATAATGTAGGCTGTGGGTTGTAGCCCGTAAAATACGCCGACTGACCTGGGACGATCATGCTTCCTGTCGACATGCTCACCGTAGGTACAGGTCCAGCCTTTGCGGATGCATCGTGCGCATGGATGACACGCGCGAGGCAAGGCACTGGTGGCATTCGGGCACTGCTCCATAGTCAGTCACCATGCTGGCGAAGGACTTCATGGATGGGACGAGAAGGGACACTCACCCGGACTTTTCGTTGACGGCACGCGTCGCATACCTGGCTCGGTCGATGCGACTGCTTCTTGGGACCCAACGACAGCACTGAAAACATGGCACTGTCGCCCGGTTTGATGGAGCCGCAACCTGGTCCCACGAGCTCCTTTGGTATTGCTTCCTCTTTTCAAGCTCTGAACGGCCGAACTTGGTATATCACATATATCACTGACATACCTGCAATACCGAGAGGCTGGCGACGACATAAAAGTCTGGGGAAATGTGGAGAGGCGAAGACGTTGTGGGCAGCCTCGGCATCAGGCTATACAAGCGGCATTCTTCGAAGATGGTTTAGTTTGGCGGCACATCAACACCCCCAAACTCTTGTCGATCTTCTCGTTCAGAGGCGAATTCATTCCCCGGTCTTGGCCTATCGGTTGCCCGCTTCGAGTTCCCTTCGCGGCACGTCCTGGTCACATGCTCCCGTTGAAGCTGAAGCGAGACTGAACTGGAAGCGGAGCGGGTGTATCCCGAACCGTTGTTCCGGGGGGCTGGTTCTTGTACGAATATCATGCTCGTTCTTCATTTCTCTTTGAGTTGGAAACCCATCAATTGTACGCATGGTTCTTATTCGATATATACAATATATTTATCCCAGTCGCAGCTGCCAGCCTCGAATTGACTGGGCCACAAGACTGGCAATCGCCTCTGACAGCCCCTTGCCTTCGCATCCGAGTTTAAGCCGATATCTCAACCAACATCCAGGCACATCTCATGCTGCGACGACTTGCACTGGCTGCTCTCGTACAGTCTCTGGGATCACAGTTCCTGGCTTGGGCCATTTTCGCGCCGGTATCTTTGTTGCGTAGAGGTGGTCGATTTCCGCAAGGGAACGACCCCTCGTTTCGGGTCTGCACGGCATCAGCAATCAGGATCTCATGTCGCGCTCGTTAGCAGAGGTCTGTAACTTACAAGAAAAAGTATGTCACTACAATCGTGACCAACGTGCACCCGGCAAAGATGTAGTCCGCCCGTGCGGCAAGGTTGGCAGCCTGCGTGAGTTGCGGGACGACAAAAGTCGCGATGATAGCCGTGACGTACATCCAAAAGACAGCCCATGCAAAGCTGGCCTCACGCAGTGTGACTGAAGACAGTTCCGAGGGAGCCAACAGCATTCTGGTCTGGTTAGCAGCAAGTCTCCATAGCGACATTGACTGGGACTCACATTGATTGGAAAGTGAAGGCGTTGAAAAAGCCAAAGATGATGAACATAGCCGCCATGGCGACACGCTCAGGCTTTGTTTCGAGGCCGCCAGTGGCTAAGCCGGCAATCGAAATGTCCAGCAGGAAAATGATCACAAACCCTGTCAACGCAATTGGTCTTCTGCCAACCTTGTCCAACAGCACCAGTCCCACGGTCGCGCCCAGGAATATGGCCACGGTGATGATAATCGTGATCTCGAAAGGATCCTCGATGCCGCTTTGGACCAAGAGGACCGTAGCATATGTCAATGTGAGCACTTGCCCGCATACCTGACTTAAGCTAGTATAAGAGGCCCCGACTAGGGTCCGTTGTAAGTTGTCTTTGTTGAGAATATCCCAGAACCGAGCCTTTTCCTTGTCGCGGCCTCGCACTGCCAACTCCTCGAGGGCGATCATCTCTGCTTCCACTGCAGCAGGGTTGTTTTTGCGTAACTTCAGCAATGTCTTGCGGGCTTCATCCATGCGTCCTCGCAGGGCATAGAAGGTCGGAGATTCGACGACGAAAAAGGTTATCAAGAAGAGGAAAACCGGGATGGCGAGTTGAACAGCAAATGGGATCTTGAAGGCACGGTCATCCTTGATCTTCTCGGTTCCCCATACCAGTGTGATGGCAAGGATTGAGACAGCGTTGCAACCGATGATGGCAAAGCCGATTATCTGGGCTCGGATCTTGACAGGAGCAATTTCGGAAAGATAAAGTCCACTCGATGTGTTGGCGAGGCTGATCCCGATATTGCTCCAAAAGCGTCCAATAGCAAGAGCCGCAATGGTCGGGGCACATAGCTGGATGATTGCCCCAGGGGTACAAAAAACCACGTATGCTATCTGCAGAGACCACTTTCGACCCAGCTTTTGGAGGAGAGGCATTCCAATGAATCCGCCGATGGCAGCCCCAACTAGGGGAAATGATGAGAGGAAATCCAGGTTGTTCGCCGAGAAGAGCGTCGCGCCCAATACATCTCCCTTCCCTTTCTGATAGTGCTGCACAAAGCGCGGGAGAGCCACCAGCGGTGTGGTAAAATTGTTGTCATAGGCATACATTGCCCAGGAACATCCGACGATGAGGGCTTGATCGTTCAGTTAACGTCTCATCAATGCGAGTCGGACTGAGCCATTGACTTACCATTCAGAAAGAACGTAAAGCCCACTCCGTGTTTAGAGAGGCGCGTGTTGTCCTCCACGGTTTCCACATGCCCCTCCTGTTGCTTCTGGTCCATTGTCGATGTCTGTTCTTCAGTGAAGGCGGACATGGTTGTAGGTGTCTGAGAATCTTTCGTCCAAGTTCGCAATGAGTATGTTCCCAGACAGTGGCTTCTTCATATGCAGATATACAACGTGACATTCTCCTTGAGTATTCCCCCGCATTGTAGATCTCGCTAGATCGTTTGCCTAGAGGAGACATGGCTGTCGTGAAGTCCTCCACTTCGAGGGCCCTCAGACGCGGCGACTATCCCAAAGTGGAAGCCTCGGCACCGAAGTTTCCCAATCCAGTAGCCGTGTGTACAACACACACTCGTTACGTCCAGAAGTCGGGTCTGCAGGCTCGAAGAGGGCTGAGTGAACCGGTCCAGAGACGTTGTCCGGAGGGAATACGTCTCCACTCCTCTGCTGCTCTGCAATATACAAAGTTCCGTTGTCGACCTGGGTTGAAATTCATGGCAACAGGTGGGAATATTCTTCGTGACAATCATGGCTCCGCATAGTACGGTTGAGGACGCAGCCAGCCTGCAGACCTTGAGCATTGACAGCAAGGATGGCCTGTCTCCACGGGAGAAGGTGTTCGTCTACCAGCACCTTCCCCAAATATCGGACACGATGATAGAGTCGTACGACCGAGATTTTGTCCAGGTAAGTAAACTGTTTGGTGCCGAATGTGCAAACCGAAGCTGATTCCCCTGTGGGGTAAACTAGGTCATGCAGGGGATGGATATCAAGTGGGAGAAGATGCCATCACCATTAGACTTCCAAGCCTGGAGAGAGTACGATCGAACCGAGTACCACAACTACGATCGTGAGGTGCACTGCAAGCGGACGCGCACCAAAGTCCCAGTCACGGTTACGAAAGTGCTCGTGTCGTATGGAGAGAATAACGAATTTGGTATCCATGTGTTTGAGCCACAGCACGAGGATGCAGGAGCTCGCCCGGCCGTTCTCATGTACCATGGCGGAGGATGGTCGCATGGCGACCCCAATATTGACGCAGGTTCGTTGTCATCTTTGAACTCCAGCCTTGTGCAACATGCCAATCAAGAGGCCTGGTGGAGAGTTTCTGACTGTGCTGCCAGAATTGTCGAAATTCTTCGCTAGTGAACTTCGCGCAGTTGTTTTCGGGGTTGACTACCGGCTTGCCCCGGAGCACAATATCCTCACCATTCATGAAGACGCATATCAAGCTCTTGAATGGGTGATCAAGAATGCCGAGAAGTACAGCATTGACTCCGGCCGCATAGCACTCTGGGGTTGTTCAGCTGGCGGGCATCTCGCTGCCACTGTGGCCATGCGTGACGCAAAGGAGCACAATCCTTCCAGACTTTCGCAGGTCAATCTTGTTGTGCCAGCATTGTGCCACATAGATGCATACGATGAGGTGCTCAAGGCAGTTGTGCTAGCCAAGTTAAAGGTGTATGTTCCGACCCAGCAGGATGAAGCCATACAGTTTCTCAGATATGTTTTCGGTAAGTTGGCTCCGTCCGCACATCTAACAGAACTGACAAGCCCCGTCCAAAAGCTGTCATGGCTCAAGCTCTGCCGCCCGATCATCCGGTTGTCTCGCCATTGTGCCATCCAGATCCTCTGCCGGAGCACCACGCTCCGACCCATTTTTCCGTTGCCGGATGTGATATCCTGCTCCACGAAGGGATCGCATATGCAACCAAATTGCGCAATGCTGGTATTGACACCATGGTCGAGGTCCTTCCGGGAGTCCCGCATGGGTTTACCATGGCGGTCAAGGCAAAGGCCACCTTGAACTGGACGAGAAACCAAGTCAGGGTGCTGGAAGCCGGTCTCCGGAAGTGAGTCATGCTGTGCACTTGATGATTGCATACCTGGCCGGGCAACAATATTTATTGGGGGTTGTCATGGTAGAGCCTTGCCACGGAACGCGCTCAGTTGAGACGTTCCATTCTGTTCAGTGCTGTGATGTTGAGAAGTTCTATCACGACATAGGAAAGACTTCCAGCTGGGCCCTAGAATAGCTCTGTGACAAATGTTCTTATATCCCATACTCGTCGGCAAGCGCCACCCAAGCGTCCACAATTTTGTCGACGTCGGCCTTTTTGATAGGGATGCGATGACCGCCATCCCACTCGACGAGCTCAGTTGTGCCAGGAGCACAATAATCTTGCACGAGTCTTCTGTGCAGATGTAGACCTTCATCCTTCAATCCATGCACGTGAAGTGTCGGTATTCTCAGCTTCATATCGGGTCGTTCCAGAATACTGTCTAGATCGGCCGCATCTGGCAGCCCGCCCGCCGACTGCATCCAAGGGAAACTCTCGGCTTCTTCGTTGAGGCTCACTAGCGGCGCGCGTCCTGCTAGAATAACTGCGAACTTCCACGGACCAGGCTTCCCTTGCAGCTGCTGCTCGTAGAGCAAACTCGCGGCCAGCTTGGCACCTTGGCTGAACCCGAGGACACCGACCCATTCACCCGTGCCTTCGTCGGATTCCATAGCTCGCTCGATGGTGTACTCAATCTCGTAGGCGCAAGCTGCGGGATCGATTTCAGGATGCGTGTCAAGCCACCTCGACCACCTTCGAAACGGTCCCCAATCTGAATACACCGGGTAGACGCCAACTCCTTCGTCGCAAAAGAAAGGTGCATCGACAAACACAAACCGAAATCGGTTTTTGAGTTTCTCGTGATTGAGGAAAGCCCGAAACTGTGCTCGAAAGATGGCGGCATTGACACCTCCGCCGTGCAGGCAGAGGACCCGGGGCAGGTTTAAAGTTGGATTGGGAGAAGCCATACTCACTGGCCTTCCTCAGGACGGTGACAAGCGGAAGGCCGTGGTATTGTTATTCTTGTAGCTGTGGAGTTGGCACGAGACTTGAGGCCAGAATTCCTTCGATGCTAGTACCCCGAGGCACCACGGTTCTTTCGACTTTCAAGACAATGCGGGAGGCCAATCTATAAGTTGTATGTAGTGACAGGCAAGAAGGAAAAAGAAACGAACTCATCTGCTTGGAGAAGAAGGACCGCTGAGCTCAAAAAACAGGCGGATAAATTACCTGGTAATTGGGGCTTCAGTTGATGTTAATAAGTAAGGCTGGAACTACAAATGCTCGGCTGCCTCAGGGTCCTCCCCATCCGTCACGGCCCGTCAGCGAAATATAAAAATAGCCATACTGTAAGGCTACCACCTACTCCATCTATTGTTTGTTCCCGACACCAAGTCTTGCTACCCACCTGTGGCTGTACTCGATACTTCAGCTTTCGCTGGGCTTCTCTACAACCTCGTAGAAGTTTCCTTGCCAAAAGCAAAAAAAAAAAAAGAAAAGCCCTGGCTCAACGTGAATTATTCCATTAGGTACAGGCCAGACGCCCTCCCTCTATTCGCTACCTACAGTAGGATATCTCCCATGACCCAACAATCAACAGCCCAAGCTCAAACGTTTGAACAAACAGCAGAGTCCATACCGTAGCTTTTTCGACCAGCAGAAAGGGCAAGAACAAGAATATTAATTCTGGTACAGGACATCGGTACCCTGGTACCGCTCTCTCTTCTTCTCTCTATTAGTTGTATCTGGAAGTCGAAGGCTCCTTGAGGGCCCTCAGCGCCCTCTGCATGCACTTCAGCCGCTCTTTCTCCTTAACCACGACATTCCTGGCCAGACGTTTGATTTCTTCTCGACCCCAAGTTTCGCGCCAGGTGGTCCAGCCCGCCAATTCACCAACCACGACTTCCTGGGTATATCGGAGCTCTTTACCCAGGCGCTGCACTTCTTGCTCTGCCTGGGCAATCTTTTTCTCAGTTTCCTTGTTGGCCTTGAGGCGACTTTCTTCGGTGCCCGGGAAATTGATGTTCATGTTCATGATGAGACCCTTGCGCGGCAGCGAGTTGTTGGCAAGCAAGGACCGGTTCTTCTCGAGTGAGTGGTTGGTCGAGTTGATTTGGCTGATGAGCGAGCTGGGCTTGAGTAAGGCCGACTGCACGGCCGCAATGGTCGAGTGTAGCGATCCAAAGGACGAGGCGAAATTGGCCAGAGGAGACGACGCCGGCTCAGTGTGCATTAACGAGGAGACTTTAGCAAACGCATCCACGTGTCTCTTGGGCAGCGTCGTGGCTGGGGGGCCCAAGGTCGCAAATGCCGCGGCACACAGGCTCAACGCTTCTGCCAGGTCGGCATGCGCTTGAACATAGAGATGGCCCTTTCTCATTACGGATCGTGTACTGATATTAAGTCTCCGGACCATTTCTCGCGAGTGAGAAACAAACGTGTCAACCGCGTTCATATCCACTCTAGATGTCAATGGCTCGTATTCGTCCATGATCTTTTCTTGGACTAATTCCGCCTTGAGCTTGGCCCGTTCCGCCATCTGTTCTTGCAGCATGTCTGGCACCAAGAAAAACTCCCAGAGCATTTCGTGCGTCGAAAAGGTCGGGTGGTTCATCAGGATCTTGAGGAACCGATCAAGATGCGTTTGGGCATCGTACAACACTGCCCGGGACGGTCTGGAATGAAGTTGGAACGGACCCCGGAAATTCGAGGCCGCAATCGTCGGCATGTACGATGCCGGAGAATCCATCTTGAGCCATTTGGCCAGGTTCTCGAAATCTTGCAGTGCTCGTCGACTGGTCGTGATCGTGTAGGTTGTGCTCGACACCGCCGGGTTCGGGGCTCCGGATTTCAGAATATACCTTGACGAACCATCCTCGACAAAGAAGGATCGGACAATCGAGGTGATGCGCCCCGCCAGATCGGGACTGTTGGACGGCGCAAACAATGTCAAGTCGTCGATTCGATTGCGAACTTCATCGTCTTTGGCCAGTTCGACTGCGGTCAAGCCCCTGGCCTCCCTTAGATGCAGGTCTATTCTCGGATCGCCCAGGAGGATTCGAACCATATCCACCCGACCGTACTTACTCGCAAGCATCAACGGCGTGAACTTCCTGTCGTTCATGGCATTCAGGTCTACGTCGCAATACTGTAGAATTCGCTGCATGATGCCAGCATCATTGACGATATGAAGCAGCGAATTGCCTTTGTGGTCGGTGTGATCTTCTATGCGTAGTGGCCCACCATCACGTTGAGCTTGTTTTGCGGCCACGAGTGCGTCCGAGACCATGGTGCTATAGTCGGCATGGTCGTATGTTCGACAGATGGCGAACAAAGGTGTGTGCCCTATCTTGTCCTTTTGTCTCCAAGGAAGCACGTTGGCAAGTTTCTTAATCAGCTGCGGCGTGTTGAATATATAATGTGCCACACTGCGACCACGAGAATCCGTCATGGCCAGATAGCTTCTGAACCTGGCTTCATCCGTATTTTGCTCCGCATAGTCAAGAAGAATATCAACTAGCTCGGTGTTGGCCAGTTGTACAGCAGCACTTAGTAGGGTAGTTCCATCTTCCGTCATGTCTGAAAGCACTTCATTGGGAGAATAATGCTCCGAGAGACTGAGGAGGTACCGCAGAGATTGTGGCTGTTGGCTTTCAACAGCCATCATGAGCACCGAATTCCCCATGGTGTCTTGTGTTTGGGCCAGGCTTTGCACAGAGGTGTCACCTTCAAGCCCACTAAGTGTGGTTTCGATTGTAGCTGCTCTAGACGCCATTGAAAATGACGAAGAAATTGACATGCTCCGCGCGGCCATTTGCACTTTTTTCTTCTGCTTGGGAATCGCAGACTTCTTTTGTGCCGCTTGAAACGGAAAGACGTGTGACAAGCCCCCGTCGCTGGACGAAGCTCGGGAAAGCGAGGCAATGGGACGTGATTCGGACGTGTGACTCGAGGCGGTTGTGATCCTCGACAAAGGTATCTCGGCAGGCTCCTCAACCAGCTCATCAGTGATAACAGCAGACTCTTCAAATATCGACCGGACGTCATCGATCTTGCCCGCTTTGACAGCGTTCCAGAGCATTTGATTCTGTTTCGAGGCTTTTCGAAGCCCGGCAGCATCTCTAGCCAGATATGTCAACACCGCCTCAAGGGTGCTTAAAGCATATCCGATCTCGCCACTTTCAACATCATCGATATAGATGAACCGTTGCATGTAAGAAAGCCTTGCCTGAAGGTGTCTCACCGAGGACCGTATGACGACAAGGAGTATTAATGAGACCAAGATATCGGCATTGATGGTCATGGCCACCGCTCGCTTCTCCTCGTCCGATATGCCTTGAGGCTCAGAGACGATTTTCTGGGTTTCAAGAAGGATATCCAACATTTCTTGCGGGCTGGCAGCGACGCCCATTTTGCGAAAGGCGGCCACGCCGCGAGAGATGCGACTCATCAGCTCCCGCTTGCCATTCCGGCCATCCTCGATAGAGATGCCAACTTGGGAGACATCCAGACAGTCCATCTGTCGTATTCGGCGGTCTAGCTCCTGGTCTTGCGCTTTATAAAAAGCGCATAGGCGCGGGAACAATAGAGATTCATGAACGTACTCGGCAACGTACCGCTCAATCAGCCTCTCCACCTCTGGACCCGTCAGATCGGTCGTGGCTCCGAGGTAGGACAGTTGTTGTTTGTCTACCCCCTGAAACAGGTCGATCGCCGCAGTAACAGCCGTCTCAAGTGCTCTCCTCATGAGATCCTCTTCATCCTCGAAATACGCTGCCGAGTTGAACGGTAACTTTAGGGAGCCATTCGATTTGACCGAGTCTGTTTCCGACACCTGAGTGGTTCCGTCCATTGAGCCTATCGTGGGACTGCGAGAAGGGGGTGGAGGCAGAGGTCTGCCCAGTTCTTTCCCGAACTCATTGAACAACCTCTCCAAGCCCGGCTGCATCTGACGCGCGATCATCGGGAAGCTGTTTAAAAGCTCCCCGAACGTCTTGATGTCCTTCTTCGGCGGCGTGGGAGGCTCCGAGGATGACGCCGCAGGTACAGATGGAAGCAGCTTGGTCTCTCCTATTACCGCCGGCTTGATAGGCAGCGGCTCGAACGCACCGGTAAGCGGCTTTGTGATGTAGTACACAAGCCATTGTTGCATGTCATTGCCGGGCGAATAGTACAGGAGATCGGCCAAAAGTGTGGACTGGGTCAACTGCTTGAACCCTTTATTAGTGTAGACGACATTCTCTTTGAGAATGACCGATCTCCCATTCACAGTGGAATAGGTCTTCGCCTTGCCCCTACTTTCCCGAACATTGACATCTTTTGTCGTCACATTGGGGCCTACCCGGAGGATGTGGCTACCCAGGAACTCCTCGTCTTCAACTTGATCGACGAACCGCTTGTGAGTGTCTCGATCTTGGCCATACAGAAGCGACTCGGTTGTTGGAACGAGCAGGACATAGTTCTGGGCCGAGAGGGCGGTTCCTAACACGCTACTCTGAAAGAGCGCGCGTAGAAAGGGATTCAGGACGGGCATCCAGGCCGATGCGCCGAAGGCTGACACTGCGGATCATCGAGGCGTTGGCATCGGAGGTGAGGAGGGTTCAGCGTCGAGCTGTTGAATGAGTTCAAGTTAGAGATAGTGCTAAGGCAGAATGGCGTTGTAATCGGATACAGTGGTGCGCAAGAGCAGACTGTTCTGAAAGTGATAGACACTGCCAGTGTACTGTAGGTGAGCACGATGAAAGAAAGCCACATGCCAGGGCGCAGTTGAGGTGATGCCAGATGCCAGTGTGCTAATAGTAACTGCTCCGGGTGCTAGTACTGTTAGTACTCCTACCACTGCACGCTAAACTTCCCCAGCTTCAATTTCGTCTGAAGTGCAAAATGACCGTTGTACCATTGTAGATTCAACTGTCGCTGCTTTATGTCTCAGCCTCGTTGCCAACATTAGTCGCCATACTAAACCTAAATAGGGGCTGGTGTCTATTCCAGTGTTTTAGTGCGGAGTTAAGCGGAGTTTCAACAACGATCTTGAAGTCGTAAAAAGTGAAGACAAAAAAGTTCAAGTTGCCCGCATACAGGGCTGCGAATCGACCAGCCGCTGGCAAACCGCAGACAAAATGGCACCAGGAGGCCATCGGCGACACCAGACCCTGAGCCAGTCGTTGGACAAAGAGGTACAGCACTGCCCGACCTATCTGTCCGCTGCCTTCTGGAAAACTCCCAAAAAGCTAACCATTGCAAATTGCAGGTGTACCAAGTGGTCCGGAAGATCATTGACGAACGATCACAATACGGCGACGACCCCTTGTCTGGCTCCAGTCGCCTCACCTTCGCGAACGTCTACGATACGATCAAAGGCTCGAACTCCAGCTTGAACCGCAAACCCAAGAAGCTGCTCGAAGATAGTATCGAAAGAGTTCTCGAGACCATACAACAAGATGCAGGCGCGGATTCTGAAGAAGACGACCCTGAACGTTCATTCGAAGAGCCACCGCAGCAGCCTAAACCATCATCGAACGGTTTAAACAAGAGCATCGTGGGAGCATGGGCAAGATCCGGCTCAGGCAACTCCCCACCGAACAATATACCGGGCTCTCCCAGACGAGACCGAGATCGCGACCAAGAGAAGAATGCTCCCGTAGACAGCGAGCAGCAAGCAGTATCGTCCAGCACGAAACGTCGCCTTGCCAATGGTGAACCGTCCCAAAAGCGACGGAAGCACGGCGCAAGCGCTGCGTCAAACTCAAACTCGTCCTCAATCGACAAATCGCCTCCGACACACGTCTCGCTAGCATCAATGGGTGGTGTCGACGCCGTGATCCAACAATTCGAAGACCTACTTGTTCTCCCCATGACCCGACCTGAGATCTACACATCCAGCAAGGTGCAACCACCACGAGGCGTACTGATCCATGGACCGCCCGGGTGCGGCAAGACCATGATCGCCAATGCCTTCGCGGCAGAGCTAGGGGTCAACTTCATCTCCATCTCCGCGCCGAGCATCGTATCCGGAATGTCTGGCGAATCCGAGAAGGCGCTGCGGGATCATTTCGACGAGGCGAAGCGAGCGGCGCCATGTTTGATTTTCATCGACGAAATCGATGCCATCACCCCCAAGCGCGAGTCCGCACAGCGCGAGATGGAGAAACGCATCGTCGCACAGCTGCTGACCTGCATGGATGACTTGGCACTCGAGAAAACAGACGGGAAACCCGTCATCGTGCTCGCCGCCACAAATCGCCCAGATAGTCTCGACGTGGCCTTGAGGCGAGGCGGTCGATTCGACAAGGAGATCAACATGAGCGTGCCGAACGAACCGGTCCGCGAACAAATCCTGCGCGCCTTGACGAGAGAAACGAACCTGGCCGACGACGTAGATTTCTCCTTACTTGCGAAACGGACTCCCGGGTTCGTCGGGGCCGATTTGAACGATCTGGTCTCGACTGCCGGTGCGGCTGCTATCAAGCGATACCTAGACACTCTGAAAGCGAACTCGGAAGCAGCAACAGCAACTATGGACGTAGAAATGGACATTGATATACCACCACCGCCGCCAACAACAACAACAACAGCAACGACAACAGAAGACAACGACAGCAGCCTACCGGCGCCACCTGCACACACAACTACTACACCCACCGTGTCTCCCACAATTGCCTCCCTTCGCCGATTAATCAAATATACCAAAGAGAACCCACCCGAGCCCAACAGCAACGAGGCGACCATCTCCATCACCTCAGACGACTTCATGACCGCCCTGCCTCAAATCCAACCTTCCGCATTGCGAGAAGGGTTCGCCACAATCCCCTCCACGACATTCGGCTCCATCGGCGCCTTGAGGAATCATATCACGGAGCTGAAAACCGCAATCATCTCCCCGATCTTGAATCCGAAACTCTACACCAATTTAGGGATCACCCCGTCTTCCGGTGTCTTACTCTGGGGTCCACCGGGGTGCGGCAAAACGTTGCTCGCAAAAGCCTGTGCCAACTCGAGCCACGCCAACTTCATCAGCGTCAAGGGTCCCGAGCTGCTCAACAAGTATGTCGGCGAGTCCGAACGTGCGGTCCGCCAGGTCTTCAACCGCGCCAGGTCCAGTGTCCCCGTCATCATCTTCTTCGACGAACTTGATGCCTTGGTCCCTCGTCGTGATGGGACCATGTCCGAGGCAAGCGCCCGTGTTGTCAACACTCTGTTGACTGAATTGGATGGCGTTGGCAACAGTCGCGAAGGCATTTATGTCATTGCGGCAACGAATAGGCCCGACATCATCGATCCTGCAATGCTGAGACCAGGCCGTCTGGAAACTTTGCTCTTCGTCGGTCTTCCCAATGCCGAGGAGAGGGTGGATATCCTTCGAACGCTGTGCAAGAAGTTGCACAACTTTGTGTTTGACGAAACCATCGCTGCCATTGCTCGTTCATGCGAAGGCTTCAGCGGCGCCGACTTGGAGGCTCTGCTCCGTAGAGCCGGATACGCCGCTATTCTCCGTTACGAATCACAAGGCGGTTCCACTGACAGTGGCACTATAACTGCCGCGGACTTTGAGCTGGCCAGGAGCGAAGTGAGGAGAAGTGTTGGCATTGACGACATGAGACGTTATGAAATGCTGCAGAAACAATGGGGCAAAAGCTGAACATATACAAAGGCAGACTTTAAATCAATACTTGTCATGGAGCCTCTGGCTGAGCTCAATCCTGCTACTACTCCCTGACTAACAACCCATTCCCTCTGTTCTCGCCTGTTAAACATCCTGAACTCCAAAAGTGAAAGTCGTTATCCCAATAGAAAGCTGGTCATGGACAAGACCGGGTATCAAAGTCGCGTTAAGGGCTCGCAGCAGCTGCCCTATCGTCCTGAAAGCGCAACATGCTCTTGCAGTCATCATCCCAGGGCGGATCCAAAGCCTGACAAAGCGTATTCCAATAGCATCTCATGTAGCCCAGCAACCAAAAGTCAAAACAACCGGCAAAGGCTCAGATTATGGGCAGTCGAAAGCTCTCATCGCTGAATCTCCGGCTTTCGGTTGAACTCCGACGGCTCCCAGAATTCGAGCGAGAACGCTTTTGTAGCTTCTTAGGCTTGGTAGGCGCCCTGACATTCTCGGGCCATAACCCAAACTCTTTCACACTAGGTCCGCGAGCCAGTGTCCCGGCAGGCAACACTTCAAACCCGTCATTGACCTTGCTAGTTCGGATGCTGGCAATCGAAACGGAATCGGCAATTGACGTTGGTGCAGTGGTGACGCTGGAGCTAATGGAAGACTTGGGGGTGTGCATAGATGCTTTGGAGTTGGTATCACTCCCTGTAGACGACGATGGGATTGCCGCGTCAAGTCTCGCTTGGGTTTTATCTGTCCAGGCTGATGGAGGAGCTTTGGTGGGGGGCAATGATTCCACAAAGGCACGAAAAGGGACAGGTCGCGGACCTTCCACCTTCTGTGCCTTTCGGGATAGCTGCACGCGCAGGTTCATGTCTCCGATTCGTGAGGGCCAGGATAAGGCACGAGAAGAGATAGAACCATCGTCGTCACTGTCCGAGAGAGATGGTGCAAGGGGTGTTGTGAGGACCAGATCCGTATGTCTCCGATCTCTGGGCAAGAGTTGTCCGCTCTCAGCAGCGTGAAACTTTCGGTGTGCTTCCATGCGCTCCAGTGGATTGGCTTCGGACTGTGTTTCTGCTCTTTTATACCCTGGTGAGCTCCTGTGTCGGCCGCCTATCACGAATTTACGTCCTCCGGAGACCGGCCGATTGGTGATCGAGCGTAAGTGAAGTTTTGATGACGAGCGGCGGAATTTATCCTGTGATGCCTGTGTAGCGGTGTAGCCGGCGGCTGTGTAACCTAAATAGTGATCTTAGCCATGACGCTAGTTGGCACTCGACGTGTGATGCTGTGTTACCTGGTACAACGCTTGTAGACTCTGACCGCATGTATGGTCCATTGTAGCTGATGACAAGAGTCTTTTTCTTCCTTAAGGATGAGGTTTCGGGAGGTGGATCGACGCCAGCTGCGGATCCCTCGAGAGGGTTCCGGTCTGCAATGATTAGCTTTTCGCAACTCAGCGGCGTTGAAGCATTACCATTAGGGGCTGATAGCCCTATGTCCGCGGGGTCGTACAGGTAGGTGGAAGAAGTAGAGGTCTCTCTTTGAGGGCTAGCTGCTGGTTGCAGCAGAGCAACTGGTCGGTCATGCGCGGGCGTATCGCATTGTAGAGGAGTGGTATTACGAGAATTCCAAACTCCTTCGACTTCTGAATCGTCCAGCAAAGCGCGGATGCCAAAGGGAATCTCATCGCTTGAGCGGCACATCAATGTGGCTTGTCCTCTTTCAGCTTGTTCTTCAGCGGCCAGTCTTTCTAGCCGGGAGTTCTTCCTCAAATTCCATAGTTTGACGCAAAATCCAGTGATTAAGACTAGTGTCTGGGAGGGTCAGGCATGTTTTTTGACATGTTCCCGGACGGACGTACAAGCAAACCACCTAAAATCTGTGACTCGTCAGCGCTGAGCGACGGAGGTTCCGACGAGCTTACAATAGCCAGTCGAGCCCATGTTGGCCACTCCACAAAGAAGACTCCGTCCGGAAACAGGGCAGCCATGCTGACGGACGAACATATGGTATGAATGCTAGAGGCGGAGAAAAATGAAAACTGGCATCCCCATGTCTTTACAGCAATGGAGACGAGCACCGCACAAACGATAGAGTAGCCCTGGAACCCCTGGAGTGCAGTGCGAACGACAGAATGGCAGAGGGAGGCCAAAGATGAAAAGATAGCAGTGTCGCCGGAGCCGGTGATGCTGGATGACGGCAGCACCTGCTTGAGGTTGGTGCAAGAACGAGGAGTTGCCATCTGCGCAGCTTCCTCTTGTCTTCTCCGAGCCCAAAGAAACTTGAACAGCCGAGCATGCAAGTTGAACAGAAGTGAATAGATCAGTGTAGAGGGGCCGCCATCAGTTGAAGAACGTGACAGACACCAGTGAAACAGATCGTTGCAGGCAAATGCAGAACTTGCTTGTTTACATACGCCTTCAATACCTTCCTACCTGTACCTGCATGATCCTGCAGCTGGCCGATCCCACCACATCACAACCATTTATCATTTCATGTTCCTGCATATGGTGTCCAGAGCAACCAAAGAGTTTGTCGTACTCCGTCCAGCAGTGCCATTTTGGCATTGCAAGCGGCATTGCAAGCACTCCGGACAGCCTATTCGTCCTCTTTTTAACAAGCCGTAAACACTGATGAGCCGCAGCAGTCAACGGTCCGAAGCCCCAAGCCGTCGCAGGCAGTAGGGCCTACAGCGATCGGGGAACACGACATATCTCGTGCCACAACCCAGCCAAAATGAAAATAATGGTTTAGGAATTACAATGGTCGACGAGATCTAAGGAGAACAAGCATCGGCCTTCACCAGATCGCAGGTTGTTTTTCGGAGTTGCTCCTCGGCTTCATCAACCGTGATGGAGCTTGGATCGTCAACGTCATCTGCTGTGTGGAGTTTCCAGGGTGGAATGACAGCATCGACAGCCAAGCGAGACGGCGCAGCTGAAGCAGCATATGAACAGCCGGGGTTCTCTATCATCATCAAGGGATGTGGTCAAGAGGAAGCACAGCGACAGTGATCGAGGAGCCTGGCAGGCACAAGAGTTTAGATCAGAATCGCATCGCACCTTTCTGTGCTTAAGAAGCTTTCACTATTACTATAAATTACTATTAATCTCAGGCTGTACCTTGCATACCGGGTAGGAAGAAAAGCCCGCACTATACCCGCCAGCGTTGTGCTGCAAGATATGCACACTGGATAAAGGCGAAGAGATTGCACTATCGGCTGATGGGGGGCTAGGGCTTGGTGTCAGAAATAATGGCGGTTTACAGATTGCCTACCACCTCGACTTTCGAACAACCTCTCTCAACAGCCATAAGACGTCAGTATCTATAAGTCAGTATACCTATTCTAAAGGGTCTATAGAGTATTGTATTTAGTTTTGACAGAAGTTGAGCTTCCGGTATAGTAGTAATTACGGTTCTTGTACCTAGGGACGGTTTTTAGGGAATAAACCGCCACTATTTTTGACACCAAGCCCTAGGCTTTTATTGGGGGCTTGTGGGGGGCTTCCAACGCTCCAGGGGACCTGACAGAGCCATCCAGGGCCCGTTCCATTGACTGATTCAATAAATCCACAAGCACACCTCACGATCGACAGCAGAGGCGCCCAATAAGCTCAATGGTACAACCTACTACATTGCACAATCCCCGGTTTCCGGAGCCAGTAGAGCGTGGCAAAGCAATAGATTTACACGGTGATCTTGGGTCGCAGTCGAATACCTAAACTTGGAGCGTGCGCCTTGCTGGTACCGTACCTTTGCCTGCGAAGTTTTGTGGTGGGCAGCTTCCTCCGGGATGTTTTCCGGGCACCGACTCCTTTAACTAAAGTAAACTCGACTCCTCCGCTTATAACATCCATACCAGCCTGCCACTGACCGCAATCGCCCGCAGATACTTCTATCCCGTCGCAACACGCTACAGTATCTTATTGCGCTACAAACACCCTTTTCATCAAGCAGCCTTGTATGGTCCTCATCCGATAGATTTTAGGACACACCCCCTTAGAACGCATTATTGCCCACCATGCCTCCGTTTCGCATGCCATTTACCTCGAAGCGACCCACGGTCACCACCACCGCCGAGCCGGTTGACGAGAACAGTCGCCCGACTTCTCATGATGGCAACGTCACCAGTCCCTACAAAGAAAAGCCGTCGCTAGCACTGGGAATGAAAGAAAGACGAGAAGCGCCAAACGAATTCAAACTGAGCTGTATGTTACCGTGCGAAGCGGGTTGCCGTTAGACAAATGAATGTCAGACAACGCAGGCTAATTGTCTACCAACAGCCGTCAATGATAGTGGCGAATATTTACCTGTAAGTAGCAGCATTGGCATGTCAAGATCTCATTGTTAACATCAAATATAGCCATCGCCTACGGAGAAAAAGTCGTTTTGGGCGAAATCTCCTCCGGCCAGCAACGGGAATCACCGCAGCTGCTTCAACGAAAACGAACCCTTTTCTATCTCCCGTGAATCCTTTGAATCATACAGACGGTCATTTGTGAGTTCACGCATAGTGATTTAGACGACAAGCGTCTGACTTCTGCAAAGGACATATCGGGCCGGTCCCCGATCGTACAAACAGACAGCTTCACCTCACGCACATCCCTAGACTCGCGAGCCTCGACCAGGTTTCCCACACGGTCCACATTAAACAGCAGCACGTTCGAAAAGCCTGCCGCAGAGGACGATGCTTTTGAGGACGTCAAGTTGAACGACGAGACGAAACAAGCACAGCCCAAAAAGAGGAGTTTTCTAGCCCGGTTTGGCGACTCCAACTCCAACGGCGACAGTGGCTCCGTGAAGGACGACGGCAAACATCACTTCCATCTTCTTCCAGGCCGGAAGCGAGGTCAGAGCGGTACGGGGAACGAACTTGGAGACATGCCTCGACCGCAAAGTAGTGGCAGCAAGGCCGAAGTGGTGGTACGATAGGGAGTGGGAGTATCTCACGGTCTTGGGCAACATTTATCTTTCGAGGGCATGCATTACGAACAACTGGAATAGTAAGGGAAAGGAGAATTGCGGCGTCATGGGTTCGGACGCGTTTGAACGACATGGGCGGCGTGGCATTGGTTTAGAAGCATGGTATCGGGTGGGCATCTGTGACAGGGAGCATTGGGCGATGGAGAAAGAGACAACCCTGGATGCAGCGACAGGGTTCTGCTGGTGCAGGCCTCCCGGTTGGGATATGGACAAGATTTGACGATGGATGAGGAGTTTACCGGCTGTGAGTAAGTGTATGCACCGGCAGCAGAGTAATCTTTAATGTCCAGAGACTTGAAGTCATTATTGGGTTTGTTCCAGCATGACCTTCCAATCATCAGACTCACAGAGAGTACATAGTGAACAGGACGACTGGAGTGTCGACGACAGTTTTTTTGGTACTCGAACAATGGAGCGTTGATGATGTTCATTCAGTTCCGATCGTTTCCTCTCCCTTGCCATCAACCTCCTTTTCCAAGCGATCATAGGCTCGTTTCAAGATTTGCACGATCTTGTGCAACTCATCTTCCGTCACATTGTACGGCGGAGACAAAATGGCATGATCGCCCCTGAACCCATCCACCGTACCCGTGCCGGGATACACAGCGACGCCGAGCTCAAACGCGAGCGCCTGAAACCGCGGCCCAAAGGCGACCGAGGGATCGAACGAGGCGCGTGTGTCTCTGTCACTAACAAATTCAAGGCCCCAGAATAGACCTCGCCCACGAATGTCGCCTACATATTTGCAGTTGGCAAACGTGTCCCGCAACAGAGAATACAACAGCTTTCCCATCTGGGCACAGTTGTCGACCAACCCTTCACGGTGCAAGATTTGTTGAACGGCCAATGTCGCAGCACATCCGACCGGGTGTGCTTGATAAGTATGGCCATGGTTGAAGTTACTGGTCCCTTTTTTCAAAACATCCACAATCTTGCGGTGGACCAACAAACCCGCCACGGGCATGTATCCGCCACCCAGACCTTTTCCTATCGTGACGATATCTGGAACGACCACCTCGGTATTGTTGTTGTTGTTGGTGTTGGTGTTGGCGTTGTTGGTGTCGTCGTCATCGTTATCGTGTTCCTGTTCAAAAGCAAACGTCGTCCCCGTCCGGCCCATGCCGCACATCACTTCATCCATAATCAACAGGATGCCGTACTTGTCGCAGACGCGGCGGACGCCCTTGAAATAGCCCCGAGGCGCCGGAGTGCAACCACTAGTAGCACCAACGACAGGCTCGGCGATGAAGGCGATAACGGTTTCGGGGTCTAACTTTTGGAAGTGGGCGTCGAGTTCGGCCACGAGTCTCTGCGCGAACTGAGTCTCTGTTTCTCCGTCCCGCCAATGCGAGTACTGGTACGTATATGCCGGAGTGACCCAGCTGACTGTGTCGTCGGGCAGCTGGAGATTTGAGTAGGGCACCTTGCGCGCCAGGTTGCTGCCGACGTTCATGGCGCCAATGGTCGTGCCGTGGTAGCTTTGCTTGCGGGCGACGAATTTGGATCGTCGAGTAGTATTTCGGCTGTTGCTGTTGCTGTTGCTGTTCGAGTTTGATGTCGGTTGGTTCTGTTGCTGTTGGTCCAGTTCAAAGAAATATTGTCTTGCCAATTTCAGCGCCGCGTCCATGGCCTCGCTGCCGCTGTTGACGAAATATGCCCGTTCCAGACCGAATCGTCTTGCTCCTGTTGTTGCTGCTGCTATCGGTGGCGGTGCTCCTGTCGGTGGTCTTGGTGGCCCATCAATCAGAAATCTCGCCAACTCCTCCGCCGCATCGGTCGTATACGTTAGAGAATGCAGATAACTCACTCCAGTGCTCATTTGGCGCATCACTGCGTCCCGGACTTCCTCGTTGCCATGGCCTAGACAGGCTACGGCCGCGCCGCCGCAGGCGTCCATGACCACGCGCCCGTCATCCAGGGTTAGATATATCCCTTTGGCTGAGGTCACTTTGTACGGTTGTTGGCGGAGTGAGCGGTGGAGGAGGGCTGGTTCTGGTTTTGGTTCAGTTGTTGTAGGTTGAGAAGGTGGTTGATGATTGCTCCATGGCTGTGGTGAGGTTTGGTCCTGGTTTCCCATTATTGCGTCTTTGCTCACCGCGGAGGCTGATGCTGATGCTGATGCTGGTATAGTAGATGCTGAGGTCGTCAGGGCAGCTGAGGTCAGGTGCCAGTGTCTCTCCCCCTATATTATCCAGGTCTCGATAGATGGACTGACTAACTGACTGACTGACTGACTGCCCCGTATATACCACGACCCTAGTTTCTCATCTATATCTGCTTTAAATTCATCCGATATAGCACCCCCTGCCCGGGTGTAGTGTTGGGTAGTACTTGGTATGGCACTGTATGTCCAATTCGCGGTGTGCCAGCGCGCCAGCAGTGCGTTGGTTGAATCTACCCTTACCCAGGTACACAACCGAGATTTTAGATTGGTCAAAAAGCGAGTCTTTCTTCTGTTGTCTTAGATATTTCTCCGGTCAGTTTGACTGTCAGTCAATTTGCGTCACTTGTTGTGTCTTCCCCAACTCGATATCATACCGAGTAGTAAAGGTACCGAAGAATAAACACCTCGACCCCACGATTGGCTTGGCTCTTCAACGTATATATAAACAGTACCTTTATGTATACAACATGTCTAGTAACATACCCACAGTAGGTAGATAAAGCTGCACGGTCGGCCTCGGGGGAGTGGTTTCATGATCGGCTACATAAGGTATCGTGGACGTGGTCCTCTAGTCGCGTTCAAGTCTTGGGCCGAGGGCGCATTTTTGTTTTATTGGATGCTGTCGCTTGCTCGAGTGGAACTTCATCACTTCGTACACGAGTAGTAGCTGTTCGGGCCGAGCATTGTGCCTAATGGTAAATTCATTACTACTGTAGCAATTGTTGGAGGACTAGAAGGATGCTACTACTACTATCACTGCCAGTCAGTGCCTGTAGTCGTGGCCGCGGATATTGACCACCGCAGTATTTCCTTACTCCTTGGTAAGTACGGCCCAAAGGACGAGGAGACAAAACTTTCCAGTTGACAATGTGAGCTTTCCATACATTAATACATTATGTCCAGTCGTCTCTACTCTGGGACCGCTGCAAAAGCCGGTGCACACGGCTTCATCAGTGAGAAAAAAACAAGTGTGGTGTGCAGTGAGATTCGACATCAAGAGAAAAGCAGTGTAGCCACGAACGGACACGAGGAAAAGAAAGATAGTATTAAGACCACCGCAGCAACACGCAAACACCTCTCGCTAAAAGAAAATGCAATGCTCGACTTCAATCTTCCCACTTTAAGTTCACCGCGCAGGACCGTACTTCGCTTCAACTCCGCATCTGCTCTTTTTCTCGCTCCAGAGGCCTCCAACTACCTCGTGCTGCATATTCTTCTCATCACTTCTATCCGCACCACCTAACTCTGATCATTCATCACTCATCTCTCATCTCCATTCTTTTGTTGTCGCTCAGCTCAACTCCGCTCCGCTCCGCTCCATTCATCTGTGTACGCCTATGCATAACCCCCTTACACTTTGATTTGAAATGGAAACCCGGATGTCTTTTGTGTTTTGGTGAATGTGTTCTCTGCTCCAGCACCGGCAGCGGTATTAGTAGCGGGTGCTGGTGTCGGTGTCATTGCGTATGGATATGTGTCATATTGGGGCAAATTTGGTTTCTCATTCTTGTATCAATTTCACGCAAAGCAATCTTCATAATTCTTGCTGTGTTTGTTGGAGGCGTGCTCTTCGAGACCTTTCCGAGCCATGGTGCTTTGGAACGTGGAAAAGCAGATTTTGCACTTGATCGATTGTGCTTTTGCGTTCTGAAAGATAGCCATGTCAGCCAATTCGTTGCCTCGTCAGATTCACAAGCAGTTGTATCGTAGAAAAAATAATAAACAGAAATTTGTTCGACCACAACTTGGACAAAGCTGGAAATCCAATATGCCAGGACCCCGTTGTCAAGGTGAGCGGAACCCTGATGAACGGGCACTGTGTCTCAAAATCCAACTAGGCCAATCATTCTGAAACCGAAAGGCAAAAACCAAGCAATGTCTCTGAGGTCCCGCATCGCAGAGAGTGTTGGATGACCGTGTAATATCATCAGGCCACATTGAAAACTGCAAGTTGATGTCTCCCACGCTGCACTCATGCAGAGATCGACATGTACACATCCCCATTGCAGACCTTAGGGTCCTGTTCCGTCATCGCGAACCCAACGAACGGATCAGGCCTGGACGAAGCATCCTTGATAAATGTGCCGGCAGACGGGACTGCGTGTCGCGCGGGTGCCATCCTTGATCCACAACCGCCTCATAACCAGAGCAAGAGTCCGTCCGAGGGTTTTGAAACGGCAGTGGACCGCCTTCACAGAGCGCGCCATGCCACAAGGACGATGGTTTTCAACACGTAACAAAACCCCCACTGGAAGACAGACACTCCGTCGCCCGGTCATAAATGCTGAGATAGAACAAACCTTCCATTGCCAGATAGTAAATACTCCAACAAATAACTGCTCACGCAGCCATGTCCAAAATTTCTGACTCCACTCATAACCAAGGACGAACAATAAGGCAACGCAGCGGGACAAAAGAAAACAAAACGTAACGTACCGATTTCAGTTGACTGCTCGGCTCTTTTTTAGAGTCTTTGGCATTACGCTCCCGCTTCATCGCGGCTTTGGCTCCGTTGCCCATTTTGCAAGAGAGATTCGACAGGAAAAGGCTAGAAGCGTAATCGTGGTCTGTAAAACAGAAGTCGTCAAAATCGATGCAATGCTGATCGAAAGACGTTAAGGCAGGGCCACTGACTTGCGGAGAGTAAATAGGGCCTTCTGGGTAGGACAGAGGAACTTGAAGTCGAGGAGTGAGAAAGGTGAACGGAGAAAAATTGTTCCCTCGTCTACAATAAAGTTGTATTAGTGTAGTAGTAGCACCACTATCTTACTGCTAGCGGTACTAGCGCCGATCTACTTTCTGCCCCTAAAGCAAATACCGCCTCCAAAGGACTTCAAAGTTGTTGGCACATCGCAAGTCCATGTTAATGGATAGACATTCGGTGTATGAATCTACCTACTGCGTGTCGAATCACAGTCTGTACAACTGAATGTTGGAACACTTCCATATCGTACATACCCAGGTATGTACATATCGCCATCAAGTATCAAGTCAAGTGGTTCCTTGCCAGCCCAGCCTGAGCTCTGGTCCACCGCCTTCCCAAACAACACTGGCACTCACCCACATCCAAATCATACATACGTTGTAGGTACAGGATATATATCCTACAACCCGTGTCATTATCCACCTCCTAAACAAAATCATCCAGCGTTCTGTTCAATCCAAGATTCTTCCTATATCATAGTTTTCATGTCATTCCTTCACTTCATCCCGTCTGTTTCCGTGCATTCCAATCAATCAACTTGAAATGCGATAAAACTGCAAACCGGTCTGGATATCGCCAAACTTTGCATGCCAGATATCCTTCCAATAACTACTCCTCGGGATCCAAGGACCACGATCGCCCCCCTTGGGAAGATCCTGCTCAGCAGCCTTGATATAGCTACTATTCAGATTCAACAGAGGCTTGTTGAGGACAAGGTCACGGTCCTTCTCATCCATCCGGGGCACGATGCTAGTCATATTCTTCGCCCGGGCGGCCTTGAGCAGCCGAACCCAGAGTTGCGAAGTGGCATCAGCCCCCAAAGTCCAGCTGGCATCGGTATACCCCAAGACAAAAGTCAAATTGGGGAGATCCTGAAGCATGGCTCCTCGCCACACGTATTTCTGATTGACCGGGTAGGCGTCGCCGTCGACCGTGATTTTGGCACCACCACCCATACGAAGCTTGAGACCCGTGGCTGTGATGATGATATCGGCGTCGAGATGGTCTCCGGATTTGAGCTTGATGCCTGTCTCCGTGACGGTGTCGATGGTGTCGGTGACCACGTTGGCTTTGCCGGTGCGCAGGGCAGCGAAGAAATCACCTCCTAGGTACCACAAACAATGTCAGTTCCAACCCCCTCCTTCTCATGGGGACTTTCTTGGTTACTCACCTGGAGTAATACACATCCTCTGTTGCCACGGTTTATACCTGGGCACGAAATGCGGATCGAACGGGATATTCTCAGGCAATTCCTTCTCAGTGGCCGCGCGGAGCAACTTAATCTCGCGCTGCGGGAACAATCGACAGAAATTAACAAACAAGAAACTGAACAGCAAAAACCGCAATCTGATCAACTTGTACGCCCATCGCTCCGGAAACACCTTCTTAATGAACTGGTCGATCGGAATGACGAGGGGCAGCGGCAAAAAGTAGCTCGGCGACCGTTGAAGCATGGTCACCGACTTGGCCTTGTCCGTCATGCTGGGCAGCAAAGTCACGGCCGTGGCACCGCTGCCAATAATAACGACTTTCTTGTCCGTATAGTCGAGGTCTTCGGGCCAGAACTGGGGATGGACCACGGGGCCGTTTTTGAAGTTTTGGATGCCTGGGATTTTTGTCTCCAGTCCCGTCGTGTAGTCGTAGTATCCTGTGCCCAGCAGAATGTGACGAGCGTAGAATTGTTTCGGTTTCTCACTGCCATTAACAAAAACGTCGAGTTGCCAATGTTGATGCTCGGTCGACCAGTTCATGCTTTCGACCTGGTGTCCGTACTGGACGTGTTGTGCGATACCATGTCGCTCGGCTGTGGTTTTCAGGTACCGAAGGATCGAGGGCGCGTCCGCAATGCATCGGTCTTCTTTCCATGGATCCCATGCGAATCCGAATGTGTGAAGGTCCGAATCTGATCGGATCCCGGGGTACTTGAATAGACTCCAGGTGCCGCCCATTTCGTGGCGGCCTTCGAGAATCGTATATTTGTAGTCGGGGATTCCTTCTTGTAGTCGGTAGGCGGCGTTGATGCCGCTGATGCCCGCTCCGATGATGATCACGTCGAAACTGTTGTTGTCTGCCATGGCTGCTTTGCTGCTGATATGATGGTCTTCAGGACTAGGTGTATATGTGTATGCAGTATGTATATCAGGCACAAAAGCAGGAATTTACTGTCATGTACACAAAACAAAAGGGGCGGTTTTGGTCACCCACTGGCACGGCAATATACTGCTGGATATATGAGGACTTGAACCAAAACAGAACCGAATGAACCCCTCTGGCAACCGTCCGGCTACTACTAGTAGTAGCGAGGCTGACGATCAAACTCGCCTCTGGGAAATAATGATACCGATTTGCAGATTTGACGATATTGCCTCGGTACGAGAAAAGTCGATCAATAATGGCGAAAGCGACAGCGACAGGGGTCTGGGGATGCCTTGAGAGTCTCCAAAGGTTAAGCGATGTGCCTGTCAGCCGAGCGCCAGGGTGGTGGGTGGTGGTGGGTGGTAGGCGCACGGACCTTGAAGCGCCAGGGTACGAGCTGAGCTGGTGGCGAGAGCCCCGTTCAAGAATGCGGAGGGTAGTAGATGATGATGTCGACTTGTGGACGAGGGTCTACTTATTACTATATAGTACATCTACTTTGCACATATAACGTCCAAATGTTGTCCTATATCGTGCACTGGTAGTATGAGACGGGTTTATCACTTTCTATCAACAGTATTCACTGCCACTGCCAGTCCTCAAACATGGCTACCTAGTAGATAGCCAAACACAAGATCTTGACCCACCAACACCCAAATCATGTACGATGTATGCTTTGAAAAACTCAGCAGCATCCACAACAACCTGCAGCACCCGGTCCGCAGCCAGGGATACGGTGCCCGCCAGCCAGGGGACTCCTTGTGTTCAGATACACCTCCGACGGGCCTGTCTCAGTCACTAAATAAAGGCACACCACTGCAGTAAGGGTTGTGACCTACTAGAGTCCCTTGTAAAAGCCGTTTGGATCTGCGTGCATTTCACGCCAATCGGTTAGTGATACGGGGTACGCCTTGGAATACGAAGCACATGAATTGTCCTCATACTGCCCCTCTTGTATCTTTGCTCCAGCTTTTGATCACCGCCAATCCTCGTATACTAGTAGCAACTTGATATGCGCTTTGTCCCAGTTTGCAACATTCGCAAAGATGCAGATATCCAAACGGCGGCGTTGCATTCGCCACTCGTCAACTAGGTACCTAGGTAGGTATGATACGGCCATGATCATGCTTCAACTGGCACCGCATTGCCATTCTCATCCACCAAGTGCTTTTCAATCTTCTCGGGCCCGCCTCCAACCCCAGTACAGATGACACGGCTGATGCCGGCTTTCAAAGTCATCAGGGCCTTGGAGTCCAGGCTACCATACTCGTTTGGACGAATGACTTCTCCAAATTCTCCTTCCCAACCTGGGATTCTAGGCAGAATGCTCTTAAACACTCCTGCAACTTGGTGGGTATGCTCCTCCAAGTAGTAAATGACGGCATTTGGACCGGCGTCAAAGGTATACGCCGCAATCAGCTTGCCTGCCTTGCGGTTGGCAGTTTCGACGGCACTCATGGCTGCCCGAGAGACATCGTTCAGGTAATGGATCGGTGGCCATGAGTCGAGACAGATGGCATGGAATGAGTTCGAGTCTTGCATGGTGATGCGCGCGAAGGTCTCGAAGTCTCGGTCGTGGATGGCCTTCTCAATTTCGGCCATTCTTTTCGGGACGACCTCGTTGAACCGGGTGGGTGCCAGAGTCGACGTCTCGACTGTGGTCTGCATGCCGGCGGTCGATGGCACCCCCTTTTTCTCCGCGCTGACCACCAACACTAATGCTCTCATCTCAGGCCAATGCGACACAGGTGCCACTTCCTCGGCGATGCTGTCGCTCCCATCGGCCTTTGTTCCTGCTCGCCAGGCCACATAGCCGCCCATCAGACTCCTGCATGCGGACCCGGATCCTTGTCTCGCAATCAAAGAAAGCTCTTGCGGCGTCTGTGGCAACTCGTAGAGGTCGGCGATCGCTCTGACCAGCGCCGCGAACCCTGCAGCTGAGGAAGCAAGACCGGCAGCTGTAGGGAAGTTGTTGGACGAAACAATACGCAGCGTTAACTTGGACAGCTTTGGTAGGGACTCGTCCTTGGCCTCCAATTGCTCGCGCAGTGATCGGAGATGCTTCAAACATGCTTGTGTCCGTTTTGACGACTGGATGTCTTCTTTTTCGCCGTTGAGAATGAGGGTATCAGGGCCACTGAACGATTCCGAGCATGATGCCGTGGTGTGTGTTCGTAGCGATTTCTGAGACAAGGTGACGGATAACGACGAGTTGGTGGGTAGATTGAGAGTGGTATCTCTTTTGCCCCAGTATCTGTGATACTGTCAGTATCCTCGCTACAATTTGGTTTATTTCGTTGCAATAGATCATTCTGGCCGAGAGGTCTCATGGCATTGGATCAATGGCGGCGTACCTACTTGATCACTGCAATATTGACTGGAGCGGTCGTGCTTGCACGGTACACTTGTGACGAAGAGCCAGACATGATGACTGACGACGAAGAAGACGGACTTTTGTGCACGAGAAGGAGAAGATGGCTTCTGAGCCGATTGTGCAACGGAAGTCAGTCGCTTTATGTCGTATACTCTGCGTGGAGAAAATGCGGGCAAAAGGATTATCACCGAACACTGGCAATAATGATCGCAGACTGGCAGGGCAAAAGGGTCGGACAACTTTGGACGGTGTTGGTCAGACTCGGCGACTTGAATCTCCGTCATGCTGTGCAGCGAATCATTTACACCCTCATTTTATTACTTGCCCATTCGTCATTCCGACATTTTTCCTGTCGACGCATATTCAATTCACCACGACACAAGACGTTCGCCTGTTTGTACAACCAACACCATCACCACTGCTACATAGACATTACCTGTTAGCAAACGTCGCAACCATGGGCTGGTGGAAGGCCGATCCGATACCTGACACTCCTTCTCCCGCATCTACCACGCAGAACGCATACCCATCCTCATCTCCGTCGCAGCCGCCGCACCCAATCCCATCTTCAACCACCGAGTCCTCCTCAGCGTGTCCAGTCGACCCCAAGACACGATCGCTTTGGCTTCAGCAAGCGCAAGCCGCAAAACCACAGTCGTCAAGTCAGCAACAAGGCGCAAGCACACCTCTACGATCTTTACCAGCATCACATCCGACGATACCGTCCGCAAAACTCTCACCACCACCCCCACCAGAACCAACACCAACACCGACATCCTACGGCTCCTCCCAAGAATGTTCATCTGACCGGATATCCCAATCTCCCTCCTCCGACGACTCTACAACACCAACAATCAAACCTCCCCGCCCTCTCTCACAAGAACGTACCGTGTCATCCATTCCACGAGCCATGCCAGCACCCACAACCTCTTCTTCCTCCTCCTCAAACCCCAATATACCAGCCAACAGCGAATCCGAAACCGGCACATCCAGCACCGGCAACTGGATCTACCCAAGCGAGCAACAATTTTTCCAAGCCGTGATGCGCAAACAAACGGCCTCGAACCCCTCGGACCTATTATCGTCCATCAGCCACATCATTCCGATCCACAACGCCGTCAACGAGCGCGCCTGGGCTCTCATCAAGACATGGGAAGGCGACTCGTCCGCTTCGTGCGGCGGGCCCAAACTTAGGTCGTTTCAGGGTTTAGGGAGCGGCGCAAAATCGCCCAAGGCTCGCGTCAAGAGTCTTCTGGGCTACACGGCCCCCTTTGATCGGCACGATTGGACCGTCGAGCGCTGTGATGGGAGTACGGTTGAATATGTCATTGATTTCTACCAGGGGAAATCCGATCCGAACGTACAACAGAAGGGTGGGTTGAACTTTTATCTCGATGTGCGGCCGAAATTGAATACTTTAGAAGGGTGGAAGATGAGGGCTGAACGCTCGCTTGGATGGAGGTGAGGTGTTGCTACTGGTAGTAGTATCTTGATATCCTGATATCCCCTCTCCTCCAGGCGCCCCTTCAGGCTCCCGCTCTCTTGCATGGGAGCACAAATATAATTTGATATACTACAGTAACACCACCGTGTGGTAACTGAATTGTAAATTATACCTATACCTGGACACTATCCCAGATACCTTGGCGAGGTAGCGAGGGGATGATGTTCCATATACATACCTATACACACCTAGGTACTCTGCAACATCACAGGGCCAAGCATGATGAGCCTTGCAGTGATCCTACTTAAGGACGAAACGAATGGGTCGGGCCTGACATGCCATCCTAGTACCATGCTACACTACCTATGTGTTTGCTGTAATATATCACGATCACTATTAAAAGGCAAAGGAAAAGACTCCAGTATTAGTATCAGGTGCAATGAAACTTCTGATGGGAAAGTTCACAACATTAAAATCCAATCCAATTCAATTCGATTCGCATTCGGTGGTATCAACAAAGACGGGAAACTCTGCCATGCTGCACCGCAGTGCTGCAGAAATCTCTGGGACTGAAAAAGGGGCCCTTGTGGCGCATGCTTCAAGTTCGGAAAAAAGAAATGAATGAATTCACGCCTCAATCAAGCAGCATATCCTCCCGAGTTCCTTGACACCCGCACAGGTACAGGCCTCATAACCTCGAACAAAACCAAACGCACCACCCAAACCAGCACTCCAATATGAACTCATGAATTGTAAAAAGAAAAATGTGCACATGTGTGTGCATGCAAAACATTGAGTCAATGAATTGTTCTCCTCTGGCAATGGCTGTGAAGGTATGTTCTGATGGTGGTAGTGTATGTCCATTTAAAGTATCGACAGAACTCGAAATGCAACACAAAACACGCTGGTGTAGAAACACAAATGTAGGGTGCGGTTTTCATTTCCCCCGAAAAAAAGCAGAGTGCCTAACCTACTCATGCCGCCCCTATGACGCAAAAAGGAATTCGTTTCTCTCATTAAAATAAGGACCATCCGATCCATCCATAGACAGGATGCCACTGGTGTGTGGGATGTCCGCGCTGTGCCCGCGGGCGGTTTCATGTTGCTCCGGGGCTCGTTCTGGCTAATTGCTGTTCTACCAGTTTCCCGTCCGGATCGTTGGCTGTTCCATACCATATGTGTTGGAGAAAAGTTGCTGCCTGATGCTCTGTTGTTGTTGCTGCTGCTGTTGTTGTTGCTGAGGAGGTTGGTTATTCGGTCTCAGCCAGCCCAGAGCATCGACCAGCGCTTCATAAGCTTCCCGTAGTCGACCGCCACTCTTCTCATTGTGCGCCCGCAGTTTCTCTTCCCAGCCACTGTATTGTAATTGGATCCCAGCTCCTCTCTTGCTGGCTTCTCTAATGACACTTGCCCAAGCCTTAGAGATTTCTTCATATGCATTTTGCTTGGCTAGATTGTGTTGAGGGTTGTCCCAGTCAGGAAGGTCGTGTATGATGTCGGTCACTCCATTAAGGTACTCGAGCGACGTGGAGGACTGTTGTTCGTTGGGCGGCAAGAAGTGTGGCGTGAAATCGCCAAGGGCTTCAAGCAATTCATGGTATGGACCTCGAACTCGATCGTAGCAGTAATCGGATTTTCGGTTCGGGTCCAGCGGGAACGACGCCATCAATCGGTTGTAATATTTTCGAAGGACTTGTAGCGTGCTTTGGATGCTCGGTCGAGGACTGACTTGGATGATCTCATCCCGTAGACCGGGATTGCGATCATACACAGATTTCAGCACCCCCCTCAGGGCATCCTGATCCAATGTCTCAAGAAGTCTATCCACCGAAAGCGCCCTACCGGCCAGGTTGGGGCGGGCTCTCTTTCTCGAAGAAGGGGTCAAGGTATGAGGTAGTCGAGCGTTCGTGATCGCAGGCGACGTCGACATTTCATCATCGCGGTCGGGTGAGGGCGACGCTTTTCGTTTCCGGGACGGAGCGGTGCCAGACACTGAAGTGGCGGTCAGTATACATCATGACACAAGAGACACAGAAAACTCACTTGATCGGTTGGGAGAGAGACGGGTATGTTCGTGGAAGTGCGGAGGAATAGGCGGCGTCGCCAGACTATTCATTGTGATTGTGGCTACACACGCCGGGTGATGCAGGATAGTTGTTTGCTCGCAACAATAGGCACAGATGGTAGTGTTTATCGAGGACTCCTGTCATGCGGGGGTGTTTATTGTCTCTACCGTAACTCGGATTGAGGACCAGGAGAAGGGATGAAAGTGAGATTGAACGGGCCCGTTACAAAGCAGAGCGGGCGGTGGGACAGGCCAGGCCGTCACTGCGTTGGATGAAGGATGGATTGGGATCGAACAGTGACGGCGACGCAGTGCAGCAGTTTGGTTGAAGAGTAACGAGTTGGCGGCAGTGGAGGTGAAAGCGAAGTTTAATAACATCGGGTCCAGTTCAAGTTTCAAAGCTGCACAGCACTGGGCGCAGCGCAGCCTGCAGGTTTGACGCAGCAACGCGATTTGCTGCCGCTTCGGGTGCCAGTGACGCTCCAGGCTCCCGGTTCCATTATTCAAGTTCAATTCACACCAGGTGCTGCAGTGCTTTGTCTGCATTTTATCACCAGACCCAGCTGCCTCAGCCGCCGCCGCCACCGCAACTGGTCCTGTATTTCCTTTAACGCCCTCCTGGTACCTTACTTCTGCCGAATCGTCTCCCGGGCATCCTCTGCATCTTCAGACCGAGAAATAAGGGCGCAATTTACTCTACAAGAAAGAACACGTCCATCTCCGGGAGGACTATCAAACAAACATTGTCATTACTTTCAGGGCAGCTTTGCGCCGCTGCCAGGCAAAAGATGTTCATTAATCTATACAGTAGAAAGAAGCATCTGCACACAGTGCAGCAATGGCTGTTGGACACAGACACGCAGCGTTGGCGAATCGTTCATAAGACAGACGCCGAGGAGACGATAATTACCTCGACGGCCATGGTAAGTCTTTGTGCAGTTCCATTGTCCAACCTGCTGCGGGTATCATACAGTGAAAATCCATGAAACTCAAAAATCCCACAATATGCATCGCTAAAGGACGCTCATCTTGCTGCTATGTCGAAGGGACTAGAGATACAGTGACTGTGCAGCCACGATATCTCGTCTTACCTTGCTTAGAGCCTCTTCAAACTTCTTCTCCAGTTCTTCGCTTCCCATGACCTTGGAAGCTTCAGCCATTTGACGCAGTGCTTCTTCAAGACGTCGGAAAGTTCGAATCAGACTGCCTTCATACACATCGGTCATTTTGCTACAGCATCATTAGTTAGGTCCTGGGTTCAATTTTCCTGCTGCACTTACCAAATCTCGCCAAATGACTTTCCAGTGGCCCAAGCAAAGATCACAGGCATGAGCTGCCATTTGAAGCTCTGCACGTATTCGTCCTCGTTGATAGCGAGTTTCGACTCGGCGGACACCCGGGCAATGACTCTAGCTTGCCGCTGGATCTCACGCAGAGGTCGTGCAAGATCCTCCGGCAGGGTTGGCTGTTCGTTCACCTTCTCCTCAAAGACGAAACAGCTCATAACTGCAGCACATTGTTCTGGAGTCAGGTCGTTGAAGAAACGGTTGAACAAGAGCTCGCTGAGCATCAGCTCATCGCCAGTGCTGATCTCGCACGCCACCCTAGCTTTCAGCTGCACAACTTCGTCCTCATTGATAAACTGAAGTCTTCGAAGGACCCGCTTGCGACATTTGAGCTCATCCAACTGCATGATGGCGTGGGCGTCCTGGATTTGTTTCTTGAGGGAGCGAATCTTGTTCGTCAGGGCCACCTTCTGTGCGTACTTATTGTAAAGGCTTTCCAACCGCGGAGAATTATGCAATGGATTGGCCACAAGTCTGGACTCCATGATCTCAATCTTGCGAAGGAGTTCCTTGAACGAGTTGTCCGTGATCTTCATATTCTCGATGGGATCCAGCACCGCGAGGCCATCTGGAAAGCGTCGCTTGACTTCCGCCAGAGACTTTTGAATCTTCTTGCGCTCCTCGGGGTTCGTCATGTCTTGCGGCGGGAAGATACGGACGTGAGAGATCTTTTGCACACATTTCAGAAGAACAGGGACAACCTCAACCTTGGATTTCTCGCCGGGTTGAGGGGGGCGGATGCCTGCTGGGAGCGTTTGGAACGTCTTTGTGGCAGGAGTCGAACCCTCGGCAACTTCCAGAGCAATGTCAAGAACCCATTCTTCCTGCGGAGTCAACTTCTCGTTGGAGCGACCTTGGCCTCGTCGAGCAAAATTGATGACGGCGCCCCATCCAAAGTCGTTCTCGCCGTCCTTAATTTCCACCAGACGACCGGGTTGCATGAACGGCAAACTGTAGTTGGGATGGATGATGACGTTCCTCATGTCTTCAGCGTAGACATCAAGTTGTTTCCGAAGTTCATAGTATGCTCGAATGGCACTTTCATCCTCAATCACCATGGTCGACTTCTCGGTCTCCAGTTGCTGCAGTTCCCTCTCCAAGCCTGACACGCTGGCGGTGTTCTGAAATTGGTGAAAGCATCTCTCCAACATGAACTCGGGGGAAATGCCTTCTACTCTCAGCAGATTCAAAATCATGTTGTAACCGAGATAGAACGCAGAATTAAGCTTGTCTTGTTCACCCCGGACAATCTCCTTGGCGACGGTGGGCTCCATCTGTTCATCAATCATCATGATGACAATACCACGTTCATCCAGACCACGACGGCCAGCTCGTCCCGACATCTGGATGAATTCCGAGGGTGTGACCCATCGTTGTGAGATACCATCAAACTTGCGGACGCTGGTGAACACCACGGTCTTTGCAGGCATGTTGAGTCCAATAGAGAAGGTCTCGGTGGCAAACAGCACCTTGATCAATCCCTCCTGGAACAAGATTTCAATCGTCTCCTTGAGAATGGGCAACAATCCAGAATGATGGATACCAATGCCACGCCGTAAGAGGGGAAGCAAGTGTTGGATTTGCGGCAAGTTCTTGTCTTCCGGTGACAGCATTTCCAGTGCGCTGTCAAAAACCTTTGAAACCATTGCCTTTTCGGACTCGTCGTTGAAGGACATGGTACTCATTTGAATAGCATATGCTTCACAATCTCGCTTGCTGAAACTGAAAACAATGACGGGGTTGTAATTCTTCGTCATAATCATGCGGACAATCTTGTAGATGTCGGAAGGACCCTTGTTGCCTCCTTTGTTCAACTTCTTGTCCTTGCCACGGCCCTTCCTACGAGCCATGGCATTGGCAGGATCATCTCCCTGCTTGGCGGCGATTGTACTCATGGCCTTTTGGAAATTGTCCTCTCGGAAGACGCCTTTCTCATCCACGATGAGATGGATCCCATCTGCACCGGCAGGGAAGAAATAGTGTTGTAGTGGAGTTGGTCGGAAATCGGTGTAGACAACGTGGCATGGTTGGTTGTGTGTTTTGGTAATCCACTCGGCGAACTGCATGGCATTGGGGATAGTTGCGGACAAAAAGACATACCGCACTTTGTCAGGCAGCAAGATGATCGTCTCTTCCCATACCACACCACGAGTCTTGTCTCGCAAGTAGTGAATTTCGTCGAAAATGACCCAGCCAACCTCTCGCATAATCTCAGACCCGCGGTACAGCATGGAGCGCAGAATTTCGGTCGTCATGACAAGGCATGTCGCTGTAGGATTGATCGTGACATCTCCGGTCATCAAACCAACGTCACCAAAATCCGCCTGGAATTCACGGTACTTTTGGTTGCTAAGTGCTTTGATCGGACTGGTGTAGATAACTCGCTGGTTGTTCTTGAGACACTGCGCGATCGCGTACTCGGCCACCACAGTTTTACCGGCACTGGTATGGGCTGAGACCAACACACTCTCATTCCGCTCAATGGAGGCAATAGAAACTTGCTGGAAAGGATCAAGCTGGAATTTCCACGTCCTAGCAGGTTCCGCCGGAGGCTTGTGTTCTGAAATCGGGACATAATCGTAGTCAGGTGGGAGCGCGACCTGATGGCGAACTTGATGTGAGAGAATGACTTTCTCCTCCTCTTTCGATGCCTGCAATCCGGCGGACGCAGCGACCTCCCGGGACTGTTCGGTCTCGAAAGTATCTGTGACAACAGGTTCCGGCTCATCATCTATGCGCATGCGCTTGATGTCTGGTCCGTCCGCACCCGAAGTCTCCTCGCCGTCTCTTTCTGAGTCTGACATGCTTACATCGTCAGGTACCGGTGCTTCGTCACCATTTTCATTCTCCGCTTCTTTCACTTCACCGTTGGCTTGTCGCTTAAGCCGCCTCTTCTCTTTCTTGTCTGCCTTCTGGGCCGCGCTGTCGGAGGACTGCACAGCCTGGGGCTTGTCCTCAAAGACATCAAAGAGCTCGTCCATGATGGCCAGCCGTAAACGGGATGGCTGTGTTTGTTTGTATTGGCAGAAAGTGTTTGACGCCAAAATGAAGAGACTGCGGCCGGCGAAATGCGAATGCCAGTACTAAGTGCAGTGTCTGAGAGAAGAAATTCCGCCGCAATAAATGCGTATGGAAACTTAGCCGAATCGCGCCAAGACATCGTAGCTCCTGCAGCTTCATCACCGCAAGTGGACTGACTAACGGACGGATTGACGATTGTACTTATTCCTCACCACTTTGATCCTCTCCAGACACCGTCAATTCCTGTGTGAGAAGAGCCGCCAATGTATGCCGTCCTTCCTACCGCACCGCCGACAACACGCTGACCGTGCAGATGAACGCCCAAACCATGCTCCGCGCCAGATTGGCAACCCAACAGATCGCCCGCCGCGGCTTCTCTACGACCGGAGCTCGATTCTCCAGCCCTTTCCACTATCCTGAAGGCCCAAGAGCCAGCTTGCCGTTCAACCCAAAGACCCGATTCTTCTGGCTGCGATACTGGTCATTCATGGGTATGGACTCGATCTAAAGTTGGCCGCGAACAAAGTACTGAACACATCACAGCGTTTGGATTCTTCGTTCCCTTCGGCATGGCCCGTATGTACTACTTTGCGACGGCGACAAACTCTCCGCTAACAAACTGGCAGTATGGCACACCTACAAGGACTTTTAAATCACTGGAATTGTTCGGATACTCGTTGGGAGGATGCTACGGGTTGCATGAAGGCAGTCTTGAGGGTGGCGCCCTCGAACACAGCATCTGTACAGAGCCATCAATAAATATAAATTAAGCAACACATACGGTCACGCTCCAGTTTGCTTCGTTGCGCTGGCTATTCTGATCTCCATCTCTGGGCCTCATGATGGTACATTTCCAGCCCGAGGAACGCGGTCCAATCAGAGTATGCGGATTAAACCATTAAATTTAATTCTCCGATGACATTTTATTTTTCGCCTTGGAATACCTCAGTTCTTGCCCAAAGCACCCGACAATCTTCGTAGATGGCCATTAACCACGATGAGGAACCTGAAAACAATTGCGTACGATGAGACCCGATTGAAAGAAAACTTGCCATTGACAGCCACAGCCTGGGATGCTGGAACCGACACCATTATCTGTGCCTTTGGGCCCACCCCAACACAGCCAGTCATTGAACTCAAACGGAGGCATCCTACCTCATCCTCTGAAAAAGACTTCATGAACATAACTTCTTGGGATGCTCCGTGTCCTCTACCGGATCTGGAATGCGATGAGATTTTACTTTTACAACACTTCAGCGATATAGCGACATCATGCCTTGTCCTGGCTGGCGGCGATGTCATTGTTGTCCGGGAAGACCCCTCTCCGGAGCAAGAAAAGATCGAAATCGTCGGGAGTGTTGATGTTGGCATTTCTGCCGCCTCATGGGCTCCGGATGAGGAGCTCCTAGCCATTGTCACACGAGCAGATACGCTAGTGTTGATGAGCAGGAACTTTGAGCCGCTTAATGAAGCCACACTCAGGCCGGAGGACTTGAAGGTTTCCAAACATGTCTCGGTCGGCTGGGGCAAAAAGGAGACTCAGTTCCAAGGCAAAAGAGCCAAAGCAATGCGTGACCCTACGATGCCCGAGACTGTCGACGAGGGAAAACCAAGCCCGTGCGAAAATGGCAAGGCGACTGTCAGCTGGCGCGGTGACGGTCAGTATCTCGCCATCAACAGCGTCGTCCCGGACCATCGCCGAGTCATCAGAGTCTTCTCGCGCGAAGCTGTACTGGACAGTGCTAGTGAGCCGGTGGATGGTATGGAGAGTGCGTTGAGCTGGAGACCATTCGGTAATCTGATTGCTGCGATCAAACGGTCAGATGCCAAAATCGAGGTCATCTTCTTCGAAAGGAATGGCCTTCGTCACGGCCAGTTCGAACTCCGCTTGACTAAAGAAGAGATGGACTCTTGGGCGTCCGAAATATCTCTGTCATGGAACAACGATTCGAGTGTCCTGGCAGTCTCGTTCAAGGATAGGGTACAGTTCTGGACCATGGGCAACTACCACTACTACCTTAAGCAAGAAGTCCAGCTTCATTCTCACCAGAGCAAAGCAGCCCTTAGGTGGCATCCAGAGACGCCACTTAGGTCCTGCTTCGGAGCGTCGGAGTATCTTCTCGACCTGTCATTCCTTTCCGCCGTGACACGAGGGAGCACTGTTCCGCCATCGGACCACGGAATCGTCAGTGTTATTGATGGCAAGACATTGAAGCTTACACCTTCCAAGCAGTCAGGCGTTCCTCCACCGATGTCATTCTGTGATGTGCCGTTTGGGTTCAACATTGTTGATTCGGCCGTTAGTCGGAATGGACAGAAAATCGCTGTTCTGACAACAGACACGCTTGAACTGTGCCAGTGGGTGACTCGATCGACCCCCAAAGGCGAGCTCCGGTTCACGGCCAATGTCCAGGCCCATTCAATCCCCCTTCCACGTGGTGGCGAAGACTCTCAGAAACCTCTGCGGCATACTCAAGTGGTTCTCAAGGACGAAGACGAAGTATATATTCTGGCGCCCAGGCAAGCCACTCAGCCAGCTACATGTCATAAGCTCGTCTGGCACGATGATTTGACGACTGCTCAATTTGAGGAGGTTTCGGTGCCTTCCGAATCTCAGAACCTCCTCCTCGACGTATCTTTCGAATGTGTCTTCTGTACCGATCCCAGTCAAGATGCCACATCGTTACTAGCGGATGGAAACTCAGTCGAACAAACTCGTCTGAGAGGAAGTCAACCGAACAGCTGTCTCTTCTCGCTTCCTGTCAATGCATCCAACGGAGGACTGAATGGACATGGGAATCGTGGCGGCCAACAATACCACAAAGTGTCACTGACACCCAAGGGGAACTTACTCGTGGACGACATCATCCTCGCGCGCGAATGCACCTCTTTCATCCTCACGTCAGCGCACCTCATTTTCACGACTTCGCAGCACCTCCTGAAGTTTGTCCACCTGGCCAAGCCGGCGGACATGCAGGTGCCCAAGGACACGCCCGAAGTGGATGAGAGATGCCGCAACGTCGAGCGCGGGGCCAAAATCGTCACCGTCATCCCGTCCGTGTACGCGCTCATCCTCCAGATGCCGCGTGGCAATCTCGAAACCATATACCCGCGATTACTCGTCTTGACAGGGATCCGGCATCACCTCAAGCAGCAGGACTACCTGGCTGCATTCCTAGCATGTCAGACGCACCAAGTCGACATGAACATCCTGCACGATTACGACCCCGAGACGTTCCTGGCCAACGTGCCCAAGTTCATCGATCAGTTGAAGAAGGCAAGCCGCGTGGACGAATTTTTGTCCAAATTGAAAGACGAGGACGTGACTCAAACATTGTACCGGGACACTCTTACTCTTCAACCCCAGTCGCAAGCTCAACCTCAACTTCAATCTGGGACAGGTCCAAGTCCTCCCAACCAGCCCACTTCAACCAACAAAGTCAACAAGATAGCCGATGCGTTCATCTCAGCACTAACATCCCAGCCATCGCCACTATCGACCGAACATCTCCAGAACATCATTACGGCACACGTCACCAAACGGCCACCGGACCTAAACTCGGCATTGACACTTGTCTCGTCTCTACGACAGACATCTGAAGAAGAAGCCGACCTGGCAGTCGCACACCTATGCTTCCTGACGGACGCGAACCGACTATTCGACGCAGCATTGGCCCTATACGACCTGGACCTGACACTCCTAGTGGCGCAAAACGCACAGCGCGATCCGCGCGAGTACATGCCATTCCTGCAATCTTTGCAAGATCTGCCCGTTCTACGGCGCCGTTTCCAGATCGACAACCACCTGAAACGATACAGCAAAGCCCTAGTCTCCCTTCACGCACTGGAAGCCCACGACGAAGTCACGACCTACACGGTCAAACACAACCTATACACCGTGGCGATGGACCTGTACAAATACGACCGGGCGCACCTGGACGCCATGACCCGACTATACGCGGAACATCTGGCCAATTTGTCGCAACACAACTCGGCCGCGACGCTGTTCGAGTCCCTGGGCGACTATGAGGCCGCCTACCCTTTGTACGCCCTGGCGCCCAACAAGTGGCGCGAAGCCCTCTTTTGCGCAAGTTTGGTACAGCCACCTCTGGAAAAGAACAAGGTACACAGCCTTGCGGCCTCTCTGGCAACAAACTGCGCCGACGTCTCAAGGGACTATCGCGCCGCAGCGACCATCACCATGGAATATTTGGACGACGTCCCCGCCGCCGCCAGGTTGCTGTGCAAGGGTTCCTATTTCGCGGACGCCATGCGCATTCTGGCTATGAGGCCAACCCTAGTCCCCGAGATCCCCACCATTGTCGATTCGGGGTTGACCGAAAAGTTCGGTGAAATCCTAGAGCTCGTCGCAGACTGTAAAGCCCAATTGAACGCTCAGATCCCGCGTATTCAGGAACTGCGCAAGAAGAAAGAGGAAGACCCCTTGGCTTTCTATGGAGGCGATCCTAGTCTCATGTCTGCTGCGGAGGGTGGAGCCGGGGTCGATATCCCAGACAATATCTCCCTCGCGGCCACAGATGCAAGCACCCTCGGCGGTCAGAGTCTGTTCACGCGCTACGGTTCGAATGCAAGCAAGTTCGGCGGCACCGTCGCGTCCAATGTCTCGCGGAAGACGTCAAAAACTAAACGCCGCGAAGAGAGGAAGCGTGCCCGCGGTAAAAAGGGCAGTGTCTACGAGGAGGAATACCTGGTCGCCAGTGTCGGCCGCCTGATTGAAAGGGTCAATGGTGTGCATGACGAGGTCAAGAGGTTGATCAGTGGTCTTTTGCGTCGTGGTATGCGCGACCAGGCTGCAAAGGTGGATGAGGTGCTCAAAGATGTTTGTGAACAATGCTCCAAAGCCAGACTCGAGGTTTGGCAGCTTCCTCAGCCGGATGTGGTTCAGCCGGACAATGTCTACGATGTCCAGGGCGAGGGTCGGCCTCCTGGAGCCGACGGCGTCTTTTGGGAAAGCCAACAGGAGACCATGAAGCCGAAGGAGGCTCCCGAGGTCAAGTCCTGGGCTGCCAGTGACCTACTTGCGTCTCAGTTACCTAGGTAGAGACACAAACAGTAGAACTTAAACTGGATGAAAAAGATCTGAAACCCTTGTTTGATTGCTTTTATGTGTGTATGCATTTGCTTTATGGACTTCATCTAACCTCCTCCATTTCCCTCCGAGACGGCCGAATGTTTGCACCCGTCGCTGATCGGGTTGTTCCCTCATGAGATCGCTGAGGTGCCTCAAGTTTGCCGCGGCTCTCCTGAGTGGATGAAACGGTTCTGCGCTCCGAAGCGTTCGCGGTAGGTTGCTTGTTGGAAAACAGCTGTCTACGTGTAGGAGGTGGTGCACGTTGCTGCTCTTGTACCTCTTCGGGTTGGGGTGCTTCTACCGCTTTCTTTGCTTGGTTCAGCTCCGAAATTCCCAATCCCACATCGATCAGGTAGAGCTGGAATGCTGATAATAGCTCCTTCAAGCCAGACCTCAGTCTTTTGATGATGATGTCAACTTCCTCTATACCACTCCTATCCCCAGGGTTGTTCTTGGCCAGAAAATCCTCAATAACGAGCAGCGTCCGCGTGAATGTCCGCACAGCTTCTGGAACCGTCGGGGTGGCCTTGCCAAATGTGTCTTCAGTGAGACTTGCCACGAGCATCCTTGTAATAGAGTCGATCGCGTCAACAATTAGCGCGGCATTGCCGTATGGGCTTCCCAGTACAGTTGCGTTAATCTTTGCAGCTTTAGTTGAAACGAAAAACCACCCAACCGGACTGCTTCGCAAAACCGCGGCCCACTGCTCTAGCACACCTTGAGAAGGTGCCTTATCTGCACCCGATGGTTTCACATATTCAAGCAGCTTTGTCTCCAGCTCTTTTGTGGTTTTCTCAACAGGCGGGTGCCACGGTTTAGCACTGCTGCCAATTTGACGCAGCTGCCCCGAAACCAAAGCCTCCACCTTCCTAGTCTTGGGGCTTGGCTGGAAGATTGGTTGGGTGGGCAGCTCAGGAACAATATGAGGAAGAGTTTTGATCGATCCATTCGATGTTGGTTGCGAGATTTGTGGAGGTGGCCCGGAGATACGAATGTCAACCTCTCGCAAGACACTCAACCCCGCTGCGGACATCTGACTCCATAAAGGCCCACCGGGTCGTTCAATGTCTTCGAATATGGCTTTTCTCCGTTCTTTATGTCTCTGAGCGATGATAGCAAGCTCCCAGAAGGCAAATGTCTTAACAACATCGCGCTTAGCCTTCAAACCGTTGAGTAGTGTTCCATTAGGATCTTTGCTGGATGAAGAAAGTGGCAGGCCAGCCTTGACAGGTGGCTGGTTCAAATACGTCAGGAATAGCAGCGACGTGAGTTCCCAGGTGAGGACGAGTAAAAAACCCGCCACCAGAGAGTGGGCTAAGAAGTCCGGTCCCAGCGGCGGGATTCCTGTAGGCTGAGCATTTGCCCGGGACAGGTTGAAGAACATCTTCGCGAGGATCAGATGGAGCTGCCAGAACAGATCCCGGAGCCACAACCAGTTGAGAACAACGGCAGCAAACAAAATGAACAATGCGGCGACACCGCTCCGGATTAGGGCGAATGACAAGCTCTGTTTCAAACGGGCCTGGATTGGATCCAGGCGATGGGTGCTTTGGGGTTGGTGCTGAGCGGCCGGGGCCGTAGATGCTCTTGAGACCGGGATGATAAGGGCGGACTTCCCATCGTATAGGTGATATGCTGCATAAGACAGAGCCAGAAGCAGTGTGTACAGGCGGAAAAAGATCGGCCTCTCATTCAACATATCAGGGGTACTGTGGCTTCCTCTTGTGATCCATCCGAGGTCTGGAGCCGACCACACGTAGGCCTCAGTAAACCACCAGGCGGAAACTGTGTACCAAAAACCCGTCTGGATCGCCGTGCCGCCGAAGAGATTGGCCCTCAGGGTCGCGAATGGAGACGCAGTTGTTCGTCTGCCGATCTTCAGAGTCGCTATCTGAAGCATGAATATGAACAGGCTGGACATCCAAAATAGCAAGGCCTTGATGCCTGCTGGACCGAATGGAAACCATGACCAGAAGAGGTCTGAAAATGTTAGGACTGTCTCGTCGCTAGCCAGGGGGACTCGTCCGGAAATACCTCTTTTAGAGCCCAACCAGAAAGCATTGTTGAAAGCAAGAAGTAAAGAAATCAGTGCTGCATGCACAAATCGTTTATGGAGGGTAGAGGTCAAGAATCTGCGGTAGGGCCGCGGAGGCGCCGGGGCAGCCAGGGACGCAGTCGCCATAGCTGCTGTTTGGAAGGTTCAGCGACGGAAGGAAAGCATGCTCAGCAAGGACTGCATCGGACCCTGATTGCGTGGTTATAGCAAGAAAGGTGGTTAACAACTGGTTGTACAATGTATAATGCAATAGGTAAACAGACCAACTGGCTGCGCGTTCGAGTTGCATCTCCAAACTTTTTGGTGTCGCTGCAGAAACTCGTCAGATGCCGCCTCTCGCACGTGACCTCGGCTCGTCATGCGGAAGCTGGTCATAGTCCTCCTAATGTTACTGCTGTCGCTTCCATCGTCGGCCGCATTCAATCCGTCGCCCTTCGCCCAAGTTCCAGGCTTCCATGATTCCTCGCTCGCTGCCTCCATCAACTTACGACGCTCTCTACGCTGCTTCTGCTTGAATTCACTGTCGCTGCACTTACTACTCTGGACTCCGTGGTCGATTAGGGCAACAACCATGTCATTCGACCGGCTCTCGTCCCTCGAGTCGCAGCCGACTACGACCCGGCGCCAGGATGATCCCCATTACAGAGACGACCCTGAGTTTCAAGACTTCACCGAATCGTTGTCCACGAAGCTTTTCGAGTTAACGTCCAACATCTCGCGCCTGTCCAACCAGCTTGCGAAACGGGATACAGAAAGAGTTCGAGAACGGGTACATGACCTACTTGAGGAAACACGTGAAGGATTTAAGGAAGTGGGAGAAGGGGTCAAGAGGGTACAAGCCTGGCCGGATTTAAATGTGAGTTCCTAGGGAGAGGCTCCGTGTGCGCCTGCTAATAGTTGTAAGCCCGCTCAAAGATATACAAACCAGAAATTATCGCGAGAGTTCGCATCTGCCCTTTCGGAGTTTCAAGTAGTGCAGAGAAGGGCGATCGAGAAAGAGCGAGCCTCTAAGGCGGCGCTCGAAGAAGCCACAAGCGCTCAGTCACCATCAGCAGAAGGACAACAACAGCTTCAAACCCTCGAAGAACCCAGACTGGCACAACAAGACGAGGTCGACTATCAAGAGAACCTGATCATTGAACGAGAAGGAGAAATCCGACAGATCGAACAGTCTGTTGGCGAACTGAATGAATTATTCCGCGATGTCGCCACCCTTGTGCGAGATCAAGGTGATCTGATCGATGCGATTGATGTCAACGTCGAGAATACCCTGACCGACACACGGGGAGCGGATGTGGAACTAAGAAGCGCAAGTCGATATCAGAAGGCGGCACGCAACAAAGCCTGCTGTTTATTGTTGATATTAGCCATTGTGCTGTTGATCATTATCTTGGCTGTTGTTTTGGGGTGAGAAGCAGACGCCGCGAACTGGAGGATTCGGCGTCCGGCTGTGGGCATCAATGATCGGATTGTATAGCAACTGCGGTCTGAAGGGTATTTTATTGCGTAAAGGGCGTTTGGGAAGATATGGCATGGTAGAGTTAGACCAGGCTGCACCCAGGTCAAGTCAGTAATACTACGTCGAACATATCTTTGATACCTCTGTCTTGCATCGACCTTGGAGGATGCGCGCTTGTGCTTAACCGGAGTACTTCACACACGCAATGTCTTCGGGAGATGTAGCAAGCCGTTCGTATCACTGTCCAGTTCTGGCGAGCTGGATGGCCGCCGTGTCCGTCAAAGGTGCTTACCTGTAGGTAAGTAGGGATGCCTCTCTGACTAATATCTGGTACTACATAGTAGTACTGGTCGCTACTACAAGTAAGCAAGGCTGACGCCAAGGCTCAGCCTCGTGACGGCGGCTTAGCCACGCGTGACGTCAAATTTTGGAGTGCGGCGTGTCTCTACGCGTCCAAAGTTTGAACTACATTGAACTGCAAATCCACAGCCACTACGCTGTCCCCGTGCCCCCATCAATACAACATTGTACATTGATATACACTGTTGTCCTGATACCCGTCTGCTCATAATGGCTCGATATGCTATCTCAAGTCCAACTGATGAGGCCTGCTCTTGAACCAACAGACGATAGCACCCTAAATGTCGTGTCCCATGTATCCGAGAGCAGCAGCAAGAAGAGGAAAAGCGACGTTATCGACAGGGAGTCAACTCAAGAGGTTGCTTTCAATGCGATATATCTACCGTCAAAGGAGCAGACTGTCACGTTCTCTGCGGTAGCCCTTATTGCCAGGGCATGTCTTCCGCTGGCATGGCTCAACACCTCAGAAGTTCTACCAGGCCCTGTTTTTGAAGCATCTATTCCGAGTGTGCAGGAATGGGAGCAGCGAGCACTTGTGGTGCGCAAACTGCTCAATGGCGGTCTGTACGCCGTTGAAAACGTCGGCGGGGACAATTACGTTGCTGTTGCTCTCCATAACTGGGTGACAGAAGAATGGTGTAGGAATGCTGCGTTCGGGAAAATCACTGCTGCCAAAATCGAGGACATCTTGAAACGAGACGATGGAGCGTGTCGCAGCCACACGAGGTCCCTCTCCGGTGGTGGCACGCCGTCATTACCAGGCCCGAAGAGCCCCAAAAAGCCCACCAACCGACGAGGGGCCCTTGCACGAATGTCGATACTAACGCCTCGGGATATGGCAGGTCAGCGGGAGGCGACGCCGAGGACGCCTGATTCCCCTGGGCTCAACAATCCGGCTGCTGCTGCTGAACCCTCGCCTACAACCCCTCCACTGCCAGTGACACCAGCTGCACATATCAAGGAGGAGAACTCTTTTGACGCGGGGAGTGTACCGACTGGAGAGGCTGTGGAAATTGTTCAGGAAGCTGTCCCAAAGCCAGAGCAAGCAATGGCTGCGGAAGACCAATGTGCACCGGAACGCCTCCGAGATCAATACTTTGAACATCTGTACTCCTCCAAGACCTCCTTGGCATTCTACGTCAAAGGTCCGTTGAGCCGGGCGCGAGCTCATGTACGCTCGACGACCATCTCCCCTTCCAAAGCAATCGCCGAATTAGCCGCTTTCTATGAAGAAAGCATTCTGGCTGCGAAGAAGATTGACCTGAAATATAAGGAAACCTTGTCAACGGTAATCAAGGGGCTAGACTCTGAGCTAGAAAGCCAGGAGTCTCGAAGGAAGCGGCAAAAGAAGAGGAAACCAATGAAACTCGGCAAGGATGGCCTTTGGCCTGATGAAGAGGAGTTCATTGCAAAGTGGTGGCGTGGACGAGAATTGAAGCCAGCCATAACCACAGAACACCAACCCGACGAAATACGGAAAGAAATGTCAGAGCTACGCATGCGAGAGACCAAGATGCAAATGCTTTTGATTCTGGAAGTGATGCTTTTGGACATTGCTGTCTCAAGGTTGTCTGAAATTCCCAAAGTCCCTACCGACCCAGACGTCAAGGTTGAATCGATTGAGGAAGACCCCTCGGCCATACTCGCTCAGACGGCTCGGAAGCAGGAGAAGCCCAAAAAGAAGCGTGACCTAGCCGGAGAACTCGACACTATAGTCGACCGTCTCTGTATCTGGCATACTGTGAGTCAAGACGAACTAAACACGGGCTCCAACCCAGACAGCCTTACCGACAATAGCAGCGCCACGACCAAAGGAAGTGACAGTTTGCGTGATTTCTGCAAGGATGTCCTTCTGCCATTCTACTCGGCCAAACTCCCGGAACAAATCAAGTCGATATCTCGAAAGCTAGGCGGGCCTGAACTCTCGCCCAAACGACCAGCCAAGCGGGTACCGCAACAGACCACAGGAGCAGCGCAACCCGGAGCAGCACCTCCGCCACCTCCGCGGTTGTCGAGCAGGTCATCGTCCTCCTTATTGGGACAAAAGTCGGGTCGTGGCCAAGGGCAGAATTCCAGCCATCAACAACCAAGAACCAAAAGGACCCTGGAACGGGTTTTGAGCGAGGATCAGGCGCACCGCCACGCTTCACCTCCAACGACACTCTCGCGCTCGTCAACAGCACCTTTGGGCTTGAATGCCATGGTCCCAACAATGGCGACGCTGAAGCGTGAGCAGTCCGAACGGCCACTGTCCCGCGGTGGCATGGGATTGGGCCTGCTTGCCAAATCCGCGAGCTTCAGCAATCGTGAAATCGATCTCGACGCCGACAGTCGGACGCATGAAGCGAAACGCCGCAAACTCGACCGGCTGGCGCAACAGAAGCGCGAGCTCGAGGCGGCAATCGAAGCGTTGAGACGTCCTAGTCGCACGACCGTCGCTGGGGAGTTTATGGATGAAGTAGAGAAGCGCGGCGGCGACAAGAGCACAAAAACGGTGCAGATCACCGCCACGCCCCGGGCACGTAGGTTCGGCGACTACGTGGCTCGAGGCAAGAGTCAGGGTCACCACCATCATCAAGACCATGGTTTCTCAACAGAGCCAGAGTTACCTCCAATGATGACGACCAGGACGACGCTGCCAACACAACATGGACGACCTGGTCAAGATGATGACCTTGTCGTTCCGTCCTCAACCACTAAAGCTCAACTTGGGTCGTTGTCTTCCCTCAGCCATGATGGCATGCCAGCGTCAGTGGCCAGACCGAACACGAGCACGAGCACGACTTCCTCTCGGCAGATGATCCCTCCGCCGGCAGCCCGGGGCTCGTCCGCTACAAAACGGGCAGTCCTGTCTGCCATCCACGAGACCCCGACTCGTGGCCTGCAAGGCAAGAAATCCAATCCTCTTGGTCTGGCCGACAGGGACTGTGACGCTGCCGCTGCGACGCACTCTAGCACGACGGCCATGACAACGACATCAACCACCAGCATCACTCAAAATACGGCGGCAATGGAGACTTCCTCGGGCTCGGGGTCTCGCTCTCGTCGCACACCCATACTATTCACCGGCCTCAAAAAGTCCGACGTCAGCATCGAGCACGCTTTCCGGGACGCCCCGGAGATCCCGGAGCGCGCGGGCAGATTAATGGACCGTGTCATGGGCGGCAAGGCGAGAGGAGATCTGCCTCCTGCCAGCTTTGGTATTGACGTTGACATTGACACTGAGACTTGGGCCCCAACCGGACTCGGACAAGAAAAGCCAGAGCAAGCAGGAAATGGAACTACAACCTCATTCTCATCATCATCCTCGTCAGTGGCACTAGAACAGCGAAATGAAGAATCAGATCCGAACCCAGAACCAGAACCTCCATCGCCATCAGCGTCACTGTCTGCCCCCCCACAGAATCCAAATCCTGGACATACAGGCAATCGTGGTGGTGCTGGTCATGCTGGCGGCGCCGTTGCCCCTGTTGACGACGGAAATGATGGCGAAGATGGAGACATCTACGCGAAACTGGGATGGGACGACGACGACGACTTTGACATTTGATTTCAGTGGTTCTGGTCTGATGCGGATGGTATCTCAAGTACCATCTATCATACCTTCCATACCATGGCAAGTAGGAAAGGAAGAAACCCAACAGTATCCAAGTACCCAAGTAACGCTCCATGACAAACACCTGCATAAAGAATAAAGATAGCCATGGCAGGCCAAGATGGCAGGCTAGCGCATTTCAACAAGTCGTATAGACAGACATGTGCAGAAACAAGGACAGTATATAATGCCACAATTCTTATTTTTCCTCATTCATTCCGAGTGTCTCATTATCGCTACCTCTCGCTGATGCTTCTCTTGTTCTTTTATATCTCTCACGTTACTACTACTACAAGGCAGGATCCACATTCATCAAGTCATCACTCATGATATGCAAGACTTGGGTAAATGTCCGCAGTCGGCGGCCGGAGATGCCATCCATCAGGTTGGCAAAGTCCAACAAGACCCTCCTGGCGCTCTCGTAGCCGCCCTGATGCACGACTCCGTTAAGAGAAATAGTGCCACCATGCTTCACAAACTGGTAGACAGGCGAAAACTGCTCGTCTTCACGGTTGGTCGTCAGGCTTCGCTCGGGTTGCAGGTCAAGTGATTCGTCACGGAACCCCAGATCCTGCAGTTCGATCCAGTTCGGGTCCGACTCGGCCAGCTCAACGGGTGCCGTTCCCTGACGCGACGCGACTGATTCTGGGTTGACCATGAACAGGTACAGGCCCAGAACCAAGGCGGACGAAAAGAGCGCCGTGACGGAATGAATGGTCACATTATCCGAAACCCGCCTTTCGGACATCAGCTTGAAGTTCTGGGCCGCATGGACACAGGCCCGACGTGCGGCTTGAGTTTGAGACCATTGGCTGATGTTCTCAAGCGCACCCGTCGCCGGAGCTGCCCCGTGTCGGCCAGCTGCGAGTTCGAACATGCGAAAGTCCGCAAGGAGCATGATGCATAGACTGTGCCAGAGCACGACGCAGTTTGTGTCGTCGACTTTGGCCAACGGGCCCGCTGCGTGGTTGGCTGCTAACACGGCTGGTATTGTGGTTTTTGCTCGGGCGTCGCCGGTGTATACATGCCAGGGGATGAACGACCCGACAACCAACTGGTCCGACGGCATCAACCGCTGATACGCCTCAAGTATTTGTATCTGGAGCAAGGCTAACAACGACGACCTACCAAGGTAGCCCAATCGACCAATGGGTTCCATGTCTTGCTTGTGAAGATCCTCGATTCGGAAGGTAGGCGCGCTTTGGCTCTTTCCACTTCGCAACAGTGATTGCCACTGGGTGGCAGATTTGGCTTGAAAGAGTGCTTCATCACACGGGGCAACTGCACAGACAGATTCGGAGCGGATGATGGGTGCTTTGGACAAAAGGTTAGAGAACCATGAGTCCGCCAGCAAAAGCCCGAGAATCAGTCGTTTGGCCGACTCGATGCGGCTCCAGGCTTTCCATCTGTCGTCCGATTCGGACATTTCGGCCAGCAAGGCGTCCAACGATTGACCCTCATCTGCAGCAAACAATCCATTCTGCTGCGCCATCGAGATAAGACTGACGTACAGCATCTGGCACTGATTGAAAGGATCTTTCTCTCCGGTAATCACAGACAGATTCAGTGTTAACAGCGCTGTGGCGAAGGCGGCCAGTTGTTGTTGTGTTGTTGCAGAACATCCCGCGCATGCAGACAGATCGTTGCAGACACGTTGGAGGAAACTCGGGAACATCCTCGACACAAATCTAGTTGCGCCGGTGGTTCCCAGAATGCTTAATCCGATCAAGCAAATAGCAAATAGCATAGGCGTTGGGGTATTCCGCACCGAGAAAGTCGCAACATGTATAAAGGGAACCGTAGGGTGGAAGCGACGGAAGAAAAGACCCAGGGCGATGTCAAGAATCTCGGCCGGTGGGAACTCCTCGTTTGCTTGTGACAAAGCTGGGTCAACGACTGCTTGCAGTCGTGGCGAATGAACGGCAGACGGCGCAGGCGTGTGGAATGTATTGCGTAGGCGTACCCGACAATCAGTGTCCAGTCCCCAGTTCGAGACAGTCCGGAAGTCGTCGGCGGCGAATGGAGTTTCCGAGAAGAGGTTGTCCATTGGTGACAAGGCGACTTCTTTCCAGAGATTCGGCATGATTCGATAGTTGCGCCCCGGACGAGGCCCCCAGCAGCGCTGTACCCTCGAAAATCGCTCTCTCGGGACTTTCTCGATGGTCTTCTTTCTGTCTGGCGGGTCGCTTGTTGTTCCGTTGACGAGACCTTTCTGATCAAGATATTGATGTTGCAGGTCACCCAAGCCATAGGTCTGGAGAAAGTCAGGGGACTGGTCGAGGTCTCCGAGCGAGGGGAACAGCCACATCTGGAATGGGTCATGGAAGTTGTTTTGATTCGTCTGATCTGATGGTGGGAGCCATTCGATATGCCCGTCACTGAACTGATTCGGGGCTATTTCCGACCGGGGAGTCTGGTTAGGGTTGCCCGGAGTCGGTACAGAAGTCTCGAACGTTGAAGCCTCGCCACTGTTCTGGGAGGGTGATGGCTTCTGTGGCTGTGAAGTGGAAGGGTCTTTCTCCTCTCCGGAAGTCAGGGGCCATGTTGTTCCTGGAAGTTGTATTCCAAGGCTGTTGGACTGGGTGCTGGCCGTATCCAAGAAAGGATTGGAAAGATCAATCGAAGCATGTCTTGCCTGTTGATTGGAATTATTCGTGTGAGGAGGGAGGTAGTTGGATGGGGAGAGAATCTGCATTAAGGGAATGCCGGTGTGGGAGGCATTGGCAACAGCCGTAGGAGAGTTGATATCGAACTCATCCTGAGGAGGCTGAGGGGCGACGCCTTCGGAGATTGTATTTCTCCTAGTTCCAGGATTGGTCGGAGTCTTTGCATTCTTTGCCCCATGACATTTCATATGTCGGAACAAGACATCGCTGTAGGAAGGTTAGACAAAAGCTGGGCTCGACGAATGCCATCTTATTGCTATGGGAGGATCAAGCAACAGCAGGTGTTCGTTCTCGGCGTACCTGCGGGAGAAAGCCTTGTCACATATTGTGCAAGAATACGGACGTTCTCGCGTATCTGAGAGACAGCCGTAAGCATTTTCCACAACAAGACAGCATTAAGACAGGGAAGTTATCGGTCAAGGTCGGATAGGGAAAAGAGAACACATGGGTTGCACATACGAGACCGTTCATGGCGTTTGAAGTGTTCCGTTTTGGTGAAGCGGCGTCCACATACGGTACATTGCCTCAAGACCATGACTGCATATGCGATAGATTGGCTTGACGATGACAAGGGTCACTGGCGGTGGAGTGAGCAGAGAAGGGGAGTGGTGTCCCGCAGAATGGCACACAGCTATGTGGGAGAGGTGGAGGAGGATTCAAATGGTAGTTGAGTTGGCAAAAAGATCGCGGAGATATTGGTGGGAGGCGGAGAGGTTACAGGTTCCTGACAGTAGCAAGCACTGCACGGAGGATTCTGTTTTCTTCTGAGCCAAACAGAATGGTTTGAACGAGAAGACCGAAAAGAGAGGAACAGATGTGGGATACAGTGTGGGAGGGCGGAGGAAGGAAGACCAGGAGGTTCAGGTTCAGGTTCAGGTTGCGAGAAAGGCGGCGGGCGGAAGAGGGTCAAGGACGAAACGAGACTGCGGAGGAGGAGCAACACTGCGGGCGCAGGAGACGATGCAACAACGACGAATTAGAGACGATGCATTGGACGAGCCAATCAAGGGATCGTAGGCGAGTGTTTTCTGAGTAGTACCGAGTTGATGCAGCGTAGTGCCAGTGGTAAACAGGACTAATAATTGCTTCTAGCTGAGACTACCAAACAGTTTCCATTATTTTATCGTCTGGGGAAGCCGAGGATGGAGATTTTCCCAGTATTTCCAGTGGACCAAGGACTGGTACAAGACACTTTAGGCATCCACCATACTACCTAGGTAGGTAATACTGGAGCTGTAATTAGGCAGTTTTGGCTGCGGAAAAAGCTGGGGAAGTCGGGGAAACATTTCTACAGTAATTGTTCACCCATTCCAATTCTGCTCATCGCTAACGACACCACGCGCGGTACACGGTTCCAATACACACGAAAGCATTCGGCCCTCGACCACGGGAAAGCATATCTAGATCCTCACCACTGTCCACTCCCACCTCCGCCTCCATCCTCTGCGACAAGCCTACACCTCAGCTAGGCTTCCCTCCTATCGCCTCGTAACTACAATATCGCCCAGCCACCATCGTACAAGATCATCCCGGTTAAGAGTCAGGAAACCAAGCAGTGCGGTGGCTTGGATCTCGGCCAAAGAAGAATGTCCGGTCCCCCTCGGCAGTGGTGATGGTCGACGTGGTTGGAGATCTGGTCTACCAATGAGGACGGAAGAAGACCGAACTCAAAGGGTCTTCAATATCTGGGGCCCCTCGTTTTCTGCAAGTGCAAGGCCAGGTGACTTAATTTGACAGGCGCCACAACGACCCATGGGAGCCTTGAAAGCCTATCGTATACGATGCAGCGAGAGACCATGTGGCTCTGCACTGGGCCTATATATTTGCCGGTCAAGGTGGGATATTTCCGGCAGTTATTAGTGCCACTGCCAGTGCATCCAGGTCTAGGGATAATGACACCCGTTTTCCATTAGTCTGGTACCCCGGAATATGGCACAAACTGAGGCGGAAATCAGAAGAAACACCCATAGAAAAACAGGGCATCATCCTTCTCATGGATCACTACTGGTCCATGCTGCTGACGGTATAAACAGAGAAACCCTTTTTGGATTTTTAGATAGTAATTGTAAAGAACCTGCTAAATGTTGAAAAAGTCAAAACACCCTCCATCTCCCGCGTTGAAGCAGGAGTATACCGCACTATTGAGTGGGAACTTGAAAGGACTGAAAGGACAAAAATGTCAAGCCTCAATGTGATTCTCCCGCCACATGGGTCTTTTTATGCATGCGAGCCAGCCAGGTTTTGCTCGTGGCAATGCGGATCTTTTTGCCAAAGACCATGAAGAGCAAAAGGGCGAGATCGTTGGCCGCAAGGACGCCGCAGAAGATGCCGGCAATGACCTTGACGTAGCCGGTCTCGAGGATCCAGTCGAGCAGCTTGAAGCCCATGCCGAACGAGATGGCCTGTTTGCCCAGGTTCATGGCGATCAGCATCTCGGACAGGTTGACTGTGTAGCTGTCGACGGCGTAGGCAAGCGTAAAGGTGAAATAAAAGTAAGCCGACCAGTTGACCATGGCCACGCCCGCAAAGTAGCCGAACCAGTGTAGGTCTCGCCCGGCCGTGTATCCGTACACGATCAGACCGGCAGGCCCGATGAACATGGCTGGCAGGAGGACGCCGAGTCGCATCTCGGCCTCGCGGATCCCGTTGTTCTTCTTGGTCAGATAAGCGGCTAGGCGGTCCGATGTCGTGGTGAAGGGTACTGCCAGGAGATAGCCGACTGCATTGCCTACTGCAATCAAGCCGGAGTTGGTCTATAAATCACAAAAAATTCAGTCAGTCCCAGACAAAGGCAAAAAGACTACAAATCTGACTGTTCACTTACCTGACTCCAATTATATGGCGGAGCGACAATCTTCAGAGGAAACGTGTAGTTGAAAGCCAGGGCGCCCAAGCCGATATAAATTCCGTAGGTTGCCACGACCCAGAAGACGGACGGCACGGCGAAGTAGGATAGGGACCGGATGGCAGTCATGAAGAACGGCGCGTCTCGGTCGTAGACGCCCCACGGCTTGAGGGTCGAGATGAACGACTTCCGCGGCGGTGGGAGATACGAGACCTCTCGCAGATCAGCGTCCACGCCCTTCTCGACGCCATTATCGCTGCTGCCGCCGTTGTTGTTGGCGGCGCCTAGCGCGCGTGCCTTGATCAGCTCGCGCGGGTACCAGGTCTCTTCGACAAAGAAGAAAGCCAGGATGAACAGCGCACAGGCGAACGCGAACTCGACGTAGAAGAACAATCTCCACGAATACCCTCCCGCGAGCATGTATCCGGCGTACAGCGGCCCCGTGGCTCCTAGACAGAGACACACCGTGTAGTAACCTAGTCGCTGGCCACGTTCGTGCAGGAAGAAGATATCGTTGACCAATTGCACCGGCAACGCCTCGCAGACACCCGAGCCAAATGCATGGATGATCCTGGCCGCCATGAGAGTGCCGTACGAGTTGCATTGAGAAGCTCCGATCAGGCCGGCGGCGAACTGCGAAATTTCGAATATCAGACATGGCACGCACAGGGCGGATTCGCACAAGTCTCAACTCACCGCGATGATGGACAGTAACATGACAGGCCGTCGCCCGAATTTGAGATAGGCGGGGACCAAGACAAAGGATCCGAATCCATATGCCAGATTAGGATACGAGATCAAATTGGACGCTGTGGCCGGTGCAATCCCAAATGACTCAGAGTAGATGCCAATGTAGACCGAGGGCCCCAGCAGCGCCGAGTTGCCCAGGAACGAGTATGAGGCGCAAATGATCAGGATCATGGTCTTCTTGAAGTTGTTCCACTGTAGAGGATCGTTGGGGTCGTCTGCTGGCACGGGGAACAGTGCTTGCCCGTATCCAGTGTCATCGCCCTCTGCAGCGACAGGTTAGAGAAAATGGCCTTCTCGAAACGCTTGCTTGGATCGACTGGGGCTGAAACTCACCTACTGGCCGTAGATTCACGGTACCGGGAACCGCCTCCTCGTGAGCATGACTGTTACCGTGTCAACGGACCATCTTAGACGGGTGTCGCAGTAACTCGACAACATACCTGTGCTTCAAATGAGGCGGATGGGCACCATGTTCGGCATGTTCGTGCTCGTGGCTATGCCGGATTTGCATGGCGAAATGTCGATGCACTCACTGTTGGTACTGTACTGTAGGTGGACCGGGTACAGGACTTCGTGGGGAAAAGCCTTCCCGCCGCAGTACTTCGCAGACTGTACTATGTATATCAATCAGATTGAAATTCGAGGACAGGACCATCTAGCTCTGACACTGGCAGCGACAGATCGACTTCATAAAAAGAAATGATCTCCCTCGCCCCGGATACGCCGTCTAGGTCCATCTTATTATTTTATTGTCGAACCATGCCAGAGCCATGGGCCACACCACACAGACCAGCAACCCTGGCTAGATTTTTCTCCCACAGCCTGGGCAAATGTCCGGCCTCCAGTCCATCGGTGGTCAGTGGGGCGACAGGCGGGTTCTCCACCATGGTCTGGCATTTGCCAGTAGCATTGCAAGCATGTAAAAAGAGTGTAGCCCGCGAGCATATGGGGCTGCCCAGAACCTAGACGTCGGCGGTCCAGTCAAGCTCGATGGGTCGATGTTTCTTGGCCTGGGGCAGGGTTCAAATTGTCGACAACTCTGGACAATGTGGTGGGAGCAGTATGGCTGTTCCCTCGACTGTAGCATCGCCTCGCCAGAAGATACTGTACAATCCCTGCCGCTCATCATCAGGCTGATTTGCCTAGTTCTTGTTCGCGGCTTCGGCAAATAGTGTTCGATATCCAGACGTGTTTGATTTCGCCTGGCGGTGCCTTGAGACAGGGATTGCTGCTTGCGATTCGGAGGTTTCCCAGCCATGTTTTTGTCCGACATGACGCATCCGGGACGTCCTCTTCTCGTAGTTCCCAAGCAATCTGTGCCGCGGGTGGTCTCCCATTACAGTACATCTGTGCCCCTCCGGCTTCTATCCGGGAATTGATGAACTGCCAGCGCCCTCAGAATGCAACTGTCCGTTGTGCTACTGTGCAGTATGTACATGACTCCTGCAGATGGACGCTAGGATCTGCTCTGCAGTGGTCCACGCATGATGAGCTGGGGCCGTCCGTGTTGATCGATCTGACCCTCGCGTGGAGCCTGGGTTGGCTTCCTAGAAAATCTGTAGCATGGACAGTAGCATGCTAGTAGCAGTATAGTATGGTATAGGCGCCTAGGTAGGCATCTCAGTCCAACAGAAAGACCCGGTCAGCGAGCGAGTGATGGTGGTCAGGACTATAATACTAGACCGACTGTAGTAGTAGTACCTAGGTAGTCATCGCCCGGAGCATGCCTTCCCGGCCGCCTAATTGTCGGGCTAAACAAGTCGCCGGCGTCGCGTACAACTTGAAGGAACCCGAACTTTGTAGCCTTCCGTGCTATTTTGGTCTTTGTACAGCGTGATTCATGGAGGCACATGTGTTGTGATTTCGTCTTTTAGTATGCCAGCAATAATCAAGAGTTGTTACAACCCTGACGAGACATTACTCGAGTCGTCGCCGACAGACGCCCCAAGCGAGACGACGGGCTACGCAGCGCACATGTGCCAGGGTGTCTCTAACCGGGGGGG